ATATGCGTATTTCTATAAATTTGGTGCAAATATATAGAAAGTAGGCTTTAAAGCATGCCGGGCATTTTCTGACCACTCTAGACCCTCCCTCAAGACTCATTTGTTGGTTGAATTAACAAAAAACTACATATATTTTGCATTTAAAATCAGACTTATTTTTGTTTTATTTTTATTACCGAGGATTTTTTATTCAAATTATCCATAAATTCACAAAATTGGTGAGTTTGTTGTGATAATAAAAAAAGCATTTGGGTTATACAAGTACATTTTTTCTAATATAACAGGACCATTGAACCGGCCTTCAAAGTATAAGGGAGACCATTTTTTAATTTTATATATATAAATTACAAGGTCCTCAAAAAAAAAAGGAATGGGGGGTACGGCCCTCCCCCTCTCCCCAATCCTACACGGTGTCGACGGCTAGGTGTAATAAAAATATTTTTTGGTTGATAATATTGTAAATTTCCTGTTACTTCAATTAGAAATGTATTTGCCTTACCTCTTCCCTCACCCTTACCTACTCCTAGGTCCCTCCTTATTTTTTTACTAATTAAAAATTGATTCATCAAAACCAATTTTTAAGTTACTCACGCCAATTATGATAAAAACTAGGTTTTCTATTTACCTAACAAAAACCCTACCAAAGAAAAAAAAGTTTTCTAATCACTTTTGAATTTCTTGAAATTGTTAATATTATTTAAACTTATTTCCATATTCCTTTTTGTCTTCTTGCTACAGCTTTTTTCAAGTTTTTTCATGACATAACGAACTTTGTCTATGGTTACCAGCCTTATTTGTTTTTCTTCTTCACTGATGTATCTATGGATAAATTCCTGCATCATGCCTATATTTCTCTCTGCATGATCGTTAAATATAATCAAAGTTTTTGCATAGGCTAAAAGCTGGTTGTAATACAATTGAGTGTGCCAGAAAAATGGTGGAAGTGACAACCAATTGCGTATTATCTCTTTTATAAACCCATTTACTGCAAAAAAAATCTAGGTTGGTTATCTCTTTGATATCCAGATTCGGCTTGTTTTCAATTTTGTAATCAAATGCCTTTTAAAATGGCATTTTGTAAGATAAAATTGATTAAACAATTAGTGTTTTATTTTTATCAGGAACTTTATAATCTAGAAGCGAAAGAGGTATTAAAGTTGAGTGTAGTACCAAGAGTATTTTAATATTGAGTCAATGAAATTATCTACAGTTCCTTTTACTTGGCAAACATCTTTATACAAAGTCATTTGATGTAGAGCTGTAATATTAAGGTATGGGGCTTTAATAGGATTGTGGATAAAAATAACAAATAAAATCCATAATTTGTTCTACTTGAGCTTTTACGTCTTCCTCTTTTATAAAAAAATTTAGTTGTTTAGATAGCAGATGTAACTTTGTATAATAAAGAGCTGAGCTAAGAAATCTTGCATGATGAACTGCACCTGGTTTTTTTATTTTAACAATTCCTGATTTCGATAATTAAATAGTTACAAGCTCTACTAGTTCTATTCTGTCTTCCCTAGCAATATTTATCTTTTTAATGTACTTTTTGCAGTATTCGAGTGCATCTGTTGCTTCTTTTTTTAACTACAGTACCAGCCTTTAATGACCAAACAAACCTTAATATGTTTTCAGAATTTGTAATGAAACTCTAGATTGTCTATCCAGATTTGTAATGAAACTCTGGATTGTAAAAATAAAACATCCATGGATGTTTTATTTTCACCATGATACATTCACATTTAACTAATTGACGTTTATCAACCTTTAAGTTTGACTTGGGAGGATAATATAGAATATCCAACTTTTTTGTAATTAAATATGGCAAATTTGATTGACAATACCTAAAATGTTGCAAGATATCCATAACCGTTGGAAGTTGCGTTTCTAAACCATATAGGTTTTTATTAAAATAGTATTACCAATACTATATAAATAGTATAAATTAGCAATTTATCTTAATGAGTATAATAGTGTGATGAATTGGTGTCAATATTGAGATGAAAATGTGTTTTAGTGACCGTAGCTTCTTTTCAGGTAAATACAAAATATCATAAAACCGAATCAATAACTGTACATTTTTTTTATTTCTGAGCAACACACACCTGAAATAGCAGGCATAGCTTTATCGATAATATGAAAAATCTTTTTAGAAGATCTCAAACTGTTATAGTGCAAAATCTTGTGTTTCTGATAACTCATATCAATACTTATTCAATTACTTAAATTTTTATTTTGAACTTTAAAATTCAAAGTCAAATATCTAAATTTTGAACCAATGTACTGACTTCATAATAGTTGTTTTTTATTTAAAAATAAATTCATATGAAATTTTAGTAAAAAAACCCAAAGTGTAATGGTTTGCTATTTATTTTATATTGGGAAATGGCGGATGGAAATGTGATGGAAACTTACCTTCAAATACGTAACTAATTAAACTAGCAAGCATTGTACAATATCTTTAACCAAGAAACATTTTTATTATATAAGAAAATATGTATTTGTATACTCCAAATGCTTTCTTGAAATCACAACAAAAGTCATAAATTTTGCGAATTTATGGATGATTTGAATAATAAATGCTCGGTAATAAAACAAAAACAAATATAAGCATGATTTTAAATGCAAAATATATGTAGTGTAGGCCCCTTTTTTTTAATTCAGTCAAAATGGTTTATATTAGACTCTCCCTCAACGTCATAGAAATCAGCAATTTTTGACAAAAAAAATGACATTTTTTTTACAAAAATGAGCCTTAAGGGAGGATCTAAAGTGATCAGAAAATGTCCAGTATGCTTCAAAACCTACTTTCTATATATTTGCACCAAATTTAGGGAAATGGCAACGCTCCCTCCACAACATGTCTCTATACAATTGTTTATATATATTTATATTTATCAAGTACCGACTTTGGTTTACTTCCAACTTTCGGTTGTTTATTGCTTTTGGCTCAGCAGAAATGGAGGTTATTGGAAGTTAATGGAGGTTAATGGAGGTTAATGGAGGTTATTGGAGGTTAATGGAGGTTATTGAAGATTAATGGAGGTTTACTATTTATATTCTCATATATAAAATCTTAGTAAAATGTTTGGTTCAATTACAAAGTTGAACTTTAAGTGTTGTTTGGTCGTTGCCAGTTCTTACTGAATCTTGAAATTAATTTATTACTACCTTTCAGATTAGCTACAGCTCTGAATCTTTTAGCGCTTGTATAATCCTGGTGAACTTCTGTGTTAAAATTGTTTCCAGGGGCGAAGACCCGGGGAAAGGTCGTATTACAATACGTGTCCGATTTTTCGCTACAAAACCTTGCAACTAATTTTTTAATGCTCTTCAAAATAGCTAGAGCTTTAAAACTTCCAGCAGTTGTGTAGTCCCAATAACGTTAGGATGTTAAAAATTAAAACTTTTTCTAGAACCAACAACACAAGGGGCAACAAATGCCATTCCCACCTTTTACCCTGACATTTTTTTTTATATAAATAAAAAATGTTTGAAAAAAAAAATTATTGAAAAGGATGTCTTTTAATTTACTTGTTGTTATTGAGGTGATAAAAGCGAAAGCGCATATAACAGAGCATCTCAAAAATAAAAAAAATTAAAACTAACTAAGCATAAAGCTATTTTATTTGAAAACAAGTGAGAGCTATTTTTTGGCATTTTATTATATAATTTTATTTTAGCCTTCGTCACTTAAATTAGGTCTTTTTTTGATTTCAACAAAAGCATTGTTTCCCGATTACGCAATTGCATTCGTAAGTTAACGTTGTTCAAGTTATCTTCATTATTTAATTCTTATTCATTAAATGACATTCTAAAAAGGAAATTTTATGAAAGTTTTGATTTCTGTATAAATATTTAAAACTGAAACTTATCAATATCATATAAAAAATTAGTATTTTAATTACTTAGTTAATTAATACGTATTTGATTCATAAAACGTAGTTAAATATATTAATTATGCCGCGTTTTGTAAGTTTTTCTCCGTTAAAAACTGTTTCGCAAGTTGCGGCGCGAAAGATTTTCGTTTCGGAAGAAATTTGGTTTTTTTATCATTATTTAAAAAAATAAAACCTTAAAATATTTATATGTTGCAATACTGAAAATGAATTTTTATTATAAACATTTTGGTATATAAAAATTTTATTTTTTACAATTATATCCGTTTGGCCAACAAAATTTTTGTATAGACTTTAAAACGTCGTTTTACGAAAGAGCTCGTTTCGCAAGTGCGACTTCTTACTTCCGTAAACGCTACTTTCGAATGTAGCAAAATAGTTTTATTTCGTAATTTAACTTGTGAAAGACTACATTTTATAAGTAGCATTTGGGAAATGAACACCGACGTTTTTTTTGTTTCGTAAAATTCAGTACGAAAAAAAAAATTCCTGATTCTAAATATCCTTCCGAAAGAATTTTTATTTTTCCGAAAATGTGCGAAATCTTCCGGTTAACAACTCTATATTACAGTATGGATAAAAATTATTATTACTGTATGGTAACTTAAAATAAATAATATACACATAATTTATTTTACATATATTTTTTACGAATATTCAAATTATTTTTGAAACAGCATTCATAATTCCAGTATCCTCTATAAATATTTTAGAATTAAAAAAATAGCTACATTAACTATTTTATTAGCCTAATTAAATACATCGGTTAGAAAAGAGGCGTGAACATCGGTAAGAAAAGAGGCGTGAACTACATCGGTAAGAAAAGAGGCGTGAACTTACTTTCAAATGCTCTTTTGCAGTGCTTAGTTATAATGATACCTTGGAGCACCTAAAAAATAAAGAAAATGTGATGAAACAGTGTCGAACTTGAAAGCAGCAGTGTCAAAATGTACTGATGCAATGTCGAAATTGAACGATACAATGTCAAAATGTGAGGCTGGAAACCCTGATTAATGACGTCAGCAGAGGGAAAATCCCATCGTTTTTTTGTTTCAACTAATATGTATCAAATAAGAAAAATCTTGCAAATGTAGGTTGAAAATTATTTGTGTGTACATGCAAAATGAAGTAAGTTGTTATCATATTGAATAATATATGAAACGAAGGGTTAAATTAAATTAGTCTGGTTAGACCAAAGTCGCCTTAAAGTCACAGTCACATCAGTTTACGGTGGTAGCTAACTACAATGTTCCTTTATTCAATTTTTAATTTTAACCCAAAACAAGTAAAAACTGCAAAACATTCGTTGAATTTTAATTTTCATCTTAAATTGATTGATTTGGTTTCCCTGCAACTTTTTGGGTACTAGCCTGAAGTCGAGCAGGAAACAAAATTTAAATTTCGTAAAACATTTTGGATATCCTCAATGCAGTCCGAATAAGCATAAGGTATTTTTACCATCGTGTTGTGTTTTGTTTTTAATAAATCAATTAGTATATTCAATTTACTTGAACTACTTTATTTACTATTTAATTAGCCAATTTACTATTTAATTAACCAATTTACTATTTAATTAATCAATTTACTATTTAATTAGCCAATTAGTGAGTTTTTAAAGATCTTTTCTTTGTACAAAGAAAACTCATACAATTGTATGTGTTACAAAAAACAATAGTTTTAAAAAGATTCAAAATTATTTAGTTTAATATAGTAATTAATTAAGTCTTTATTAATTTAATAGTTGAATTAATTTAGCAATAATTCAATTAAATAATAAGAAAACCAAAACCTTTTTGAAATAAATTTAAATCACTAATGATTAAAATTCATTTTCAAAGGTTGCATTTATAAATTGTTAAATAAAAAGGTTTTAGTTTTCTTTTTTTTAATTGAATTATTGCTAAGTTATTTCAATTAAAACTAAATAGAAAACTAAATCTTTTTTATTGATCATAAATTTAATTTTTATTGATTATTAACTATTGATTGATTGATTGATTGATTTAAACAAAAGAATATATTTATTATTTAAAATAATTATTATTTAAATTACTTTTATGACAATATGTAATCCTATGCAGCTGATTAAATCTTATCACATTGACTCAAAATTTGAAAACTTGTTTGGACTCAATATTTTTGGTTTTTATAATTTTATTTTTTATATTTTGTTGAGTAGAAATGAACAACATTAAGTTCACATGTTTCAATTAAATTAGAATAAAAAGTTTAAATACTTTAACTAAAATTATTCACCTAATACACCTAATTTTACTACGATTAGTAAAATTAAGTGTACACACATTGACTGGAATTAATACTTACGTGATTATATATATATATATATATATATATATATATATATATATATATATATATATATATATATATATATATATATATATATATATATATATATATATACAGGGCTCAATTTAACGGTAAGACATCAGACATTGTCTGGGTAAAACCTCAGGTTGTCCGCTCAATTTACAAAGTAATCTGATATTTTGACCGACAGTAATTAAATTTTACAAAATAAAGTTTGGACAGGAATGCCATGCAATCTATGCTTTTGCTGATTACGAAAATGATTTTTTTTGTTTATAAATTGACCACGACTGTATAGATGTTCTGATGATTTAAACGTTTCAGAAATACGCTGAAACGTTTCATTTAAACATTATATATATAAACATATGTATATATATATATATATATATATATATATATATATATATATATATATATATATATATATATATATATATATGTTTATATATATAATTAGTTTTTTGTAAGAAATCTCAGCCGTGAACTCAAAAGATGTAGAACTTTATGCTAATCTTAAAAATATTTATTTTCATTCAACTTTCAAATTTCAGATTAACATATGTTGACATATTCCTAGTTTGTTTTTTTTTTACTAAAAGATAACAATTCAAAATAAAGGCAAACCTTATTTAAAAAATTTTTCAAATCGCTCTACCTTAATCTAAATACATACACACGCAATTATATAAAAAAATTTTCTTTCCTTTCTTTCCTGATATTGCTTTAGCTCCCCCTAATTTTGTATATATGCAACCCCCAAAATTAGAAAAAATGAGGTCAGCAATAATTTGCTGACCTCAATTTTTTAGAGGTCAGCATCAGGTCAGCAGAACAAAATTAATACAAAGGTTTTAGCATAAAACATAGAAACGATGTCAACAAAAAATCTCAAACACTTTCAGGTCGGCATTGCCGAATGCCAACTCTAATTGGAAGGGTTGATATATATAATAATAATTTTTGTTTTTCATATGTTAGATGAGGTATGCACAGTTAATAATGGGCCCTGCTGGCTCAGGAAAGTCAACATATTGCAAATACATGCATGAACATTGTGAGACTTTAAGACGGGAAGTGAATGTCATCAATTTAGATCCTGCAGCTGAAAACTTTTCATATCCTTTGTATGCTGATGTAAGAGAATTGGTAGATGTTAATGATGTGATGGAGGCAGAAGATTTGAAGTTAGGGCCAAATGGAGGATTGGTCTTTTGCATGGAGTATTTGATGCAAAATTTAGATTGGCTAAATGAACAATTAGGTATAAATATTGGTTAAAGTTTGCATTTTTGCACTTTCAATTGGCTATTTTGAATTTTTTCAAAGTGCTATATATATATATATATATATATATATATATATATATATATATATATATATATATATATATATATATATATATATATATATATATATATATATATATATATATATATATATATATATATATATATATATATATATATATATATATATATATTTGTTTTTTTAGGTGAGGGTGAAGATGACTACTTTATTTTTGATTGTCCTGGCCAAATTGAGTTATATACTCATATACCTATAATGAGACAACTTGTTCAATCTTTACAGCAACATGATTTTCGCATATGTGGTGTATTTATTGTTGATGCACAGTTTCTTGTGGATGCCTCAAAGTTTTTCTCTGGTGTTATGGCAGCATTGAGTGCTATGATTCAATTAGAAATACCTCATATTAATGTTATGTCAAAAATGGATCTTCTTGATAAGGAAAGTATAAATATTGTTGAAAATTATTTAAATCCTGATGCAGGTTTACTCCTTCATGATTTGAATTCAGCGCTACCTATAAAATTTAAAAAATTGAACAAAGCAATTGCTTCCCTAATAGATGATTATAGCTTGGTGAGTTTTGTTCCAATGAACATTAAAGAAGAAGACTCAATTAATGATATACTAGCATATATTGACAATGCCATACAATATGGAGAAGATTTAGAACCAAGGATGCCTCAAGATGAGGAAGATGCTGATTCTGGATTTGGGGTTTAGTGCAATTGAATCTGCTAAGTGTATATTTATTTGTTCTTTTTAAACCAGAATAAAACTTTTATTGATATTATGAAGCTTTTTAAAACTTAATTTATTTGAATTGCTGTCTATGTATGTATATTAGTACCATGTCATAAATTCACTTGGTTACATTTGAAAAAGTTTATAGTATTGATTAATATTATAAGTTAAAAAATTCCTTTTTTAATACTAAAAAATTATTGTCTCTAATGATATTAAAGGCAAAAATTTCACATTATATTGAAGATAAAAATTAGGAAACACAATAATAAAATAAAAAATTAATTGATATAATTAGTTATTTAATTATAAATTAGGATATACAATAATAAAAAAATATACAAAAAAAAATCTTATAAATGAATGACTCAAAAATATTTTCTTTTTACTCATCAAATCAAATTTGGGTATTTGTTATTAATTTTTATTGATATTTTTTTATTTATTTATTGAAAGATTTTATTTTTATTTATTTATTAAGTGATCCCAGGGGCAAAGATAATATAAAAGTTAAAAATGAATATATGTGTGTGCACAATTGAATTAATTAGTTCTACAACAAATTTTTTTGTAGTGTTCTTAATGTGGTTTTTTTTATTTATTCTTATGTAAAATAGTAAAATATATTTTTAATTAAAATTAACTTCTTGCTTTTTTTGTTCTTTTTTAGTTTTTTTTCACTGAAAAGTATTTTAAATTTATCAGAGTTTTTGATAAATGATTATAGAAAGTTCTTTTTATTATATATATATATATATATATATATATATATATATATATATATATATATATATATATATATATATATATATATATATATATATATATATATATAAGAGAGAGAGAGAGAGAGAGAGAGAGAGAGAGAGAGAGAGAGAGAGAGGATTCTTCCTGATCAGCCTACTGATGTTTTTACTAATTTATTATTGCTCTGTTTTTAAGAACATTGAGCACTCTATTTGTAAAACACACTAACATAATTTGTATATATATATACATATACACACACACACACACACACACACACACACACACACACACACACACACACACACACATACATATATATATATATATATATATATATATATATATATATATATATATATATATATATATATATACATACATACATATGGCCACAGCTCCTCTGAAATCCTCTAAAGTCCTCTTTTTCCAAAAACCTCCTCTATTATCCTCTATTATCCTCTAAAAAGTTAAAAATATCATAAAATCTCCTCTTTAACTCCTCTTTTTTATTATTATTTATTTCTTGATGGTAGTATAATGTTTAAAATTCATGATCTGCAAAATGCGTAGTCTGAAATGAGAATTGGATTGTAAACAGGCATTAAACCTTGAAAAAAAAATCCTCTAAAATCCTCTATTTTTATTCAAAATTTTGTAGTTTTGTAAAAAAAATCCTCTAAATTAAATGCAAAATCTCATTTAAAATCCTCTTTTTCTTATAAAAATTTTATGTTGCCACCCTGATATATATATGGTGTTACATTAGTTAATTGTTAATTTTGATTTAGAATATTTAATTAAATAATTAAAAATAATGTTTATTATTTTATCTGATAGTATATTTATCAAAATAAAAAAGTAATATATGTGGCTATTTAACTGGTTTACCATCTAGCTTTTAGCAGCGTTTCAAATGAACTACTACATTTTTTTAGTTTCTTCTACACATATCTATATCTCTGTACATGTTTGTTCAATCTGCTCACGAAGTTAATCAATTTTATGAGTTTTTCCTTGTGTACAATATTCTTTAAGTATCTCCAAAGTAAAAAGTCTGGAGGAGAAAGGTTCTGAGAACTATACCATTGAACTTTTTCTGCCTATCCATTGTTGTAGAACCAAGTAGCCAAGTTCTTACTTGAAAAGAATTATGGGCAGATATCTCACCTTGTAGAAAGTACACACACACATATATATATATATATATATATATATATATATATATATATATATATATATATATATATATATATATATATATATATATATATATATATATATATATATATATGGCCACAGCTACATATATATATATATATATATATATATATATATATATATATATATATATATATATATATATATATAATATCTCACCTTGTAGAAAGTAAGTAAAGTTATTTAATTCGAGGCTAATTTGAAGTTAGCAGAAAAAATGTTTGTGCTAATTACATTATTTGTGATTATTTGTGGTAAATACATTATTAGATTTTAGTAATTACATTATGAGAGCCATGGTTTATTATACCTTTCATTGTAAATTGGCTCTTGTCTGACCAAATAATCATGTTAAGCAAGTTAAAATTTTTTTCAAAATATTACAACTTGGTTTGACCATTCTTTTGTAGAAATCATCTTCCCTTTGCTCGAATTGCTTTCTTATATGGTGGTGGGGGTGGTGGTAAAATGTTTTTCCCAACATTTGTGGTGTTGAGGTCAACAAAAAAATGATTTCCACACTTCTAACCTTTGAAAATTTTTCAGTTGAGCAATAAAAAAACTATTTAAGTTCTCTCTTCAATCAATTCAAAAAGTTGTGAAGTCTTTTTATATGTACCTAATTTAATAATAAAACTTTATATATGTATAGATTTTGTAATAAATATATCAGGATAATTAAGAGTATTTGTATATCACACAAATTATGAACTCTGTATTATGTACATTATAATTTGATATATATATATATATATATATATATATATATATATATATATATATATATATATATATATATATATATATATATATATTAAATATTATAGTTTGTATTTAGTAAGACATGATTACAGAACTCCAGCAATCATACAAGGTTGACCTTTATCCGGATTATTTGATTCAAGTTGCTTTATGCAATAATGTTACAAATACCAGTTATTTGCGTGAAAAATGCCTCAAAGGTGAATTTAATTGTGCTATTCTTAGCACTGCTCTTATACCTGATATTTTTCCTGTTCTAATTTCTTGTAACAAATCAGTTCACTGCTTTACAGAATCCTCTATGAAAACGCGTAATATACACACTGAAATTATGTTAAATTTGTCATCTTCAAATAGTATCAAAGATTCCTTAAAGTTATTCGGCGCCAATGATACCGACTCTAAACTTCTTTTTGTGATGGTATCTAAAAAAGAAGAGCAAGATAAATTTTGTGAAATTTTAAATGAAATAAAAGGTAATTTTGTTGTTGTTTCTGAATTATCAAACATGTGTGATTATAACAGTACAAAAAAACATTACAAGATTTCCGATGACGAGTTGTCAGCTAGTAATTTTAAAAACGCCATTTCTATGAGAATTGCTTCAAAAGATGTCTAGCTTTGATTTTTCAAAAAATGTTGCCCTGGTTTATTGAAGATGTCTAACCTCGGTGTTACTGATAAAGATCATTAGAGATTAGTGTAAGGATTAAAGCATGATTATATTACCATGTCACTATTACATTCTATTAAATTACTAAAAGTTTTGTTGACGTTTATTTCAATTTTTATTTTACTTTTGTTTTTATTTGTACTGTTGATATTTGACAAACTATTTTGAGCTTTCTATACATTCTTTTTTTATTGACTCCAAGTCGAATGACATACTTTTATTATTAACTTTATTTCCTTTTAATATCTCAAACTTTTTTTGGACTTTAACCTTTTTTTACTTTTACCTAAGCCTAGGTTTGATTTTACTGGTATTTAAGAGTAGATTTGGTTTTACTGGTATTTTAATTTAGTACTTTTATTTTATTAAAATCGGTATTTTCATTTTAAGAATTTAAATTATTGAATTTTAAGTATTTAAGTCAATCTAAAGGGCTGTTTACATTAATCGGGCTGGACCGGTTTACCAGGCTGATTGAAAAAATAACATTAATTAATGCTTACATTGAAATTAAAATTTACATTTGAATTACGCATTTTCATTTTTATTTAATTTGTTACTTTAAAAACAAGCCTTGGATTGGAAAAAAAAAATGATCTAATCAGCTATACTCATGAGCAGGGCTGGGTCACTTGCTTGTGTTTATATGGAAAAAAATTGTCCCACAGACGAGATCTTAGTTATCCAGGCTGTCATGAAAACAGTTTTCATTTTTATAGGTAAGTATTAAAAATAATAAACCTCGTTTATGTGAGCCAGTCTGACTAACTGGACTATTATAAACAGCCTCTAATATTGTTTTAAATTAAAATTAATGGTCTTACTCTCGCGTGCTTAATATACGTAAGGGGACGTTTAATAGTTTTTGGAAATTTTTCCCACTAACCAAAGTTTATTAAGCTTAGGGTGTGTTGGAAAATTATATCTCAAAACCAAAAAAAAAAGTTAGAGTAAACCGACTTAAAAATTAGAAAATATATCAGTCTCTAATAAAAATAAAAAACTTTTGCAATTAGACTTAGTCAGTAAATCGTCAACCTATTAAAAATATCTAGACTTCTCGAAAATGAGCTTTTGGTTTATTCCTCACTTTAATATAAAACGTAAATATTTTTATTAAATCCTTTGATTTTTAATAAAATTATATATAAAATACCAATAAATCCACATTCTAAACTACAACATATCATTTAAAAACTTTGGCATATAAAATTCGCCGAATGGTCACACACGAGCAGTGAACGCCTGAGGGAAGAAATGAAGTACATTAGAATAAAGGAGAATTATTTATTAGACAAAGCATATTTTGACAGTTTTATTTTTTGACATTATATTTTGACATTTGACGCGACTACAACTTTCTACAGCTTTGCATGAAAGTTTTAAGGATCAAAAGAAGTGTTCTTTAAAGCTAAAAATCAATCAGCTGTAATCCCTAAATAAAAATCAATCAGCTGTAATCCCTAAATGCATGAATCTCGAAAATTTGCTGGGCAATGAATTGTGACGACGTATCACAAATTGATGTTATGTCATTTCCATTAATTATCTCTCTTACTCATAGTCGTATGACATAGTCAATTTCAACTTTTCTAGCATTTTAAATTGTCTATTGACAATATAAAATGCTAGAAAAGTTGACCATTAAATTGTCTATTAACAATTTAAAATGCTAGAAAAGTTGACCATGACCATTAAATTGCATATTAACAATTTAAAATGCTAGAAAAGTTGAAATTGACATACGTTTCTGTGTAGCATTTTTACAACTTTAATTTCTGAAATCCTTTTTCAGGCACAGTTGTTCGAAAAAGCAAATGTTTGACGGTTGCTAAGGCGTCATTAGGGATAAACTTCTTGATATCATCGGGTCAGGGCAATAACATCCGTTTTTGCCATGTGTAATAACATCCATGCGAAATTTCATCGATGTATAATAACATCCATGCAACAACATCCCAAATTTCATTGATGTATAATAACATCCGTGCAATAACATCCCAAATTTCATTGATGTATAATATCCGTGCAACTACATCTGTAGATTTTTCGGATGTAACTACATCCGAATTTTTTTATTTTATTAAATGCATAATTTTAACCAGATGTAGTTACGCATCTGATTTTTCGCGGATGTAACTACATCCGCCAAAAAAAAATTATTATTATGCATTATTTTAACCAGATGTAGTTACACATCTGATTTTTTTTGGATGTAACTACATCTGCCAAAAAAAAACATTAAAATGCATTATTTTAAGCATAATAATTTTTTTTAATTGTTTGATAGACTGCCTGCCCAAACCAAACCCTCAGTCGATGTAGCAGCACTCCGTTGCGAGTCAGGCTATTTGTCAGTCGATGTAGCAGCACTTTTATAATATAATAATTATATATGTAACTACATACAGAATTTTTGTTTTAATAATGTATAATTTTAACCAGATTTAGTTACACATCTGATTTTTTTCGGATGTAACTACATCCGGGAAATAAATAATTTAAAAAAGCATTATTTTAACCAGATGTAATTACACATCTGATTTTTTTCGGATGTAACTACGTCCGGAAATTTATTTTATTTTATTTTTTATTTTATTTTTAATAATGCATTATTTTAGGCGGATGTAGTTACACATCGAGAAAAACTCTCGGATGTAGTTACATCTTTCTAAAGATGTTATTAGACATCAATGAAATTTCGGATGTTGTTGCACAGATGTTAATTCAGTAAAGAAAAAAAGCGGATGATCTTACACAAAAATGTACGGATGTTATTTCACTACTCCACGGATGTTGCTGGACAGGTGTAGTAATCTTTTCCCATATCATCTACTAAAATGAAGATCAACTTTCATACTATTTTTGAGATTAACTTTTTTTTAATGTTTTAGGGCTGCCTATTAATTACGTTAACAAAATAGGGGGGAGAGGGGTCTGATTATTTTTGACAATTTTTGAAAAGAGGTAGGGGAAGGGAGGTCAAGAAAAGTTGACGTCAACAACAATACTTTTTTTGATAAATTCAGTTATTTAAAAGAAGAAAACGAGTTTTGGTTTATTTCTAACCATGGTATAAAAATTATACCATGGTGAGAAATAGCATATTAAGTCTGTTGAAATTATGATACAGGTGTAAAAAAAACGCGTATTTGAACGTAAGCTACTCTAAAATTAAATTGTTTATTGCATGTTCTTTAAAAAATATGAATTTGGATCCGAATATAGTCATTGAAAGGCTAAAAAATAAAGAACAAAACCCCCCCTAACACTACGCAATATTTTATTGTTTTGTTATAACATCAGAGTAAAGCCGCTAGAACATATTTGTTAGGATAGATCGTAAAACGCATTTGCGCAAAAAGCAAAGTTTTCTCGTCTGACTTCCCAAAGTTCACGGGAAAAAAAAGTCAGACGAACTATTGTCTACGATAGACCAAGAGTTAGTAAGTTTATAAAAAACGAAAAATTTTAGAGTTACAGAATGACTAGACTTCTAATATTAGAGTGACAGATATAGCACTGGATGTTAGAATGTGCATCGAAGCGAGTTATGATTCTTTTTAGTGAGCTGAATTCGTCTTCGCTAGTCTTGGTATGTGGCCTCTATATGACAACTAACTGGTGGTGGATAAACCACAATACCACTATACTTGTATTTAAGTATTCTTTAAGTAACATTACCACAAGAGAGTTTAAGAATCTATCGTAACGTTTATTGCGATGATTAAATTTATTTTTATTACAGGACGACGATAAACAAAAATTAGATTTTAAAAAAACAAACTCCCAGCCACGCTTTTATTAAGGCTTTCCTCCCCCTCCCTGCTTATTTAATTCGGACCAAATTTCCTTTTTTTTTTCGACATCTAAAACGAATTTCAGGTTTATTTTTGGACAAAACTAAATTTGAAAAAGTGACTAAATTTTATTGAGGGTGCTAAAAACTTCCTAAACAAAAACTTTTGAATAAAAAAAATAAAGTATTCTTTAAGTAACATCACCACAAGTTTAAGAATCTATCGTAACTTTATTGCGGTGATTAATTTTTTATTTTATTTGAATGAGCTTATATTAAAAGAAATATTTAAAGTTGGATATATTCAAATCCATGAACAATTAGTGTTTTGATTCATTCTTAAATTGCTTTATTGCGGTATTTAATTGAATAGAATTCTTATTTGAGCCAGTTGAAATCTAATCCTTTAATATGCAACGATAATTCTTGAAGTAGCATATTTAATTCATCCTATATGTCGGTGACTCTGAAGCTGTGTTGTCTATATCGCTGACTCCAGCAATATAAATAATGATTGCGGAATCCTTGAGGCTTTGTAATAAATTCATAACGTCCTCATTTATTCTCTCGTCTATAAAAAGCTGAAAGTTTATTAAGTTGTGAATTTCTTGACGGCTTTTAACTTTTCTCGAATTCTTTAGCAGGTTAAAATAGTTTACGTCTTTCCGAAAGTTTTATCAATGTTAGGATTGCTTTACATAACTGTTTTTAGTGATTGCTCTTGCAGATATTCTATTTCTTACAAAGTCTGTAATGAATTATTACAAAAGTCTTTAAGAAATCATTACTAATGATTTCTTAAAGACTTTTTCTGTAGAGAAAAACTTTATTTATCTTTGCTCTCTTTCCATTTAGGAGCTTTCTTCGTTGAAAATGTGTTTTGAGCAGTTTAATTGACATAAATGTCATGCGTTTTAAAATGATTTTTCAATGTTATTGCAAAGTTACCTGAACACTTTATAGTTTTTTGCACAGTCTAGGTTGTGCCACTAACGTTTTAGTATTTATACATGTGGGTTTTATAGTGTCTTCCCATACTGTCGTCAACAATTATTTGGTAGTGTCAAAAGATCTACTTAGTCTTGTATTTTAATCACTTTTGCAATAAATAGAGCTGTACCCAATTGGCATGGGCGTAAAAAAGACGTCTTTTGAACGTCTTTTGAACGTTTTGGATGTCTTTTGAACGGTCAAAAAACGTCTTTTTTAGGTCCGGTGCCCACTGGGTATTTATTTAGAGTATTTTACTATTTTTTGGTTTTTGTAAAGGAAACAGCTGTTTTACTGTTTCTGTTAAACAGTTTTAAAAACCATAGTTTTTATTTTATTTTGCAAAAGGTTTAAAATGTTTTGATATTTCAATCAAATTTACATTCAATAAATGAAAAAAAAAAAAAAAGTTAAATTAAATTTGGTAGGATAAGGATGAGTTTCATTTATTAAAGTATAACACAATAACTTTAAAGTTAAAAGGTTTATTCTCAAAGGATTTGTTTGTCCTTTTATATTTTGTTTGTTTATATTATTTGTTTAAAGATTTTATTTTTTTAAATAAAAAGCTTTTATTCAAAAAAATCTAGGATATTGTTAATTTCAATATTAGTTTTGTAAAACAAAGCAATTACGAATGCTATATTTTTTTACGGATTCAACAGATTTTTCAATCATAACGTTTGCAAATTACTCAAATTTTTCTATATTACAATTTTAAGTTATCAAAAACTTTTTAATTAAAGTTAGCATATCTATGGAAGTGAAAGCGTTTCCACGAAACTGTATATTATTTCATTCATGGAAGTGAAAACGCTTTCATGAAACTATATATTATTTTATTTGCATAAGATGTCAGTAATGCTAATTTAATAATTCTGCTGGATTATAACAGCAACATATTTAATTATTAACTGACGCAAAACCTTTTAAATTATAATTTAAAAGACCAGGTAATTAAAAAATATATATATATGTTAGGACATAAAATATATCAACGAAATACAAGTTTTTCTAACTTCAAACAAAAATGTAATATTTCTCATATATATATATATATATATATATATATATATATATATATATATATATATATATATATATATATATATATATATATATATATATATATATATATATATATATATATATATATATATATATATATATACGCCTTTTCCCTGTCACCGTAGTATTTCTGGGTCAGCTCAATATATTTTTTCGTCACTTTTAAAACTGCGAAAATAAGAAGCACAGAAGACTTTACAATGCATTAATACTCTTTTAAATTATTTTGTTTGGTATACTTTTATAATTCAAAATATTTTTAAAAATGAAGAATTGGTAAAAATTCTGCATTTGTAAAAAATTAGTTTACATTTCTTTTTATAAATTTTTATAAATATGTAAGTTAAATATTGCTGTTATACATAAAAAGCAATTTTTTTAAAAATATTTGTTTAGTTCAAACCATTTGTTTATTTGAAAGCTTGAATATAGTTTTCTTTTATAATAATACCTGACAGTATTTACATTATCACCAGATAGCACATTTTTTTAAACTCAACTGCTGCAAGAGGATATAAACCTGTCGTAAAAAAAAATCTGAATAGGTGAGGAATTATCTATTCCTAACTATTATTATATAACTATTATATAACTATTATTCCTAACTAGGAATTATCTATTATTAACTATTTTTTTTAGTATTGTCTTATATTTAAACTGATTTTTATTACGTAAAGTTACTTTTATTAAATGTTTTAATGATTTTTTTAATTTAAAGTAAGTTTTAATTAAAGAATTTTATGGTAATATTTCATATAGAGTTAGTTTTTTTTTTTAATTTTTTAGAATGAAAATTTCTCTATTTTAATTCTATATATATTTAATTAAAAAAGATTTTTTAATTAACAATAAAGAGTTAAAATTAATTTTAACTCGATATCATTAATTAAAAAAAAACTTTATCAAACAAAAATATATATATTTTTGTTTGATAAAGTTTTTTTTTTTTTAAATTAATAATATCGGAAAAGAATTTGATAATATCGGAAAAAATATTGATAATATCAGAAAAAAAGTTATAATATCGACAAAAAATTTGAGGCCGTAAGTAATGCATCAAATGGTTAGGTAAATTACCTGGCTTCAAAAATAACATTTAAATATATTAAGTCGAACATAATTGGGAGAATAAAAAGAGAAAATATATTTAAGCTATGATTATAGTGTCCCGTGAGTGAGGACATCATGATCGTATGTGCACATCACTATGTTTGTGCACATCATAATGTATGTATATAAATACATACATTTCGTTAATTCTGATGCAGGAGAGAAAAACCATAAAAATTCCAAACATGAGAGGGACCTATTAAATATTTTTTAATGTAAACAATAAGATTTCATCCCTCTATTTAGTAGTCATCTATTTGTCTCCCTGCGTGTCGTAAAAACCGTATTTTGGAAAGTCTCAAAAAGCCTTTTTTTAAATAGATTACGTGGTTAATGATTTTATTAGTTTTTAAATTGAAACTTTTGTTGATATATTGTTAATTACTCACTTGCCCTACTTTACCTCGATGGTAAAGTGTGGGCAAGAAATGTATGTGTATATATATACATACATAATGATGTGCACAAACATAATAGGTCATAATAAAGTATAAATTTTTTTTATTTTACTTTAAAATAAAAAAAATTTATTCTTTATTATGACCTATTATCAATCTTAGGAATTAGAATCAGTGCCCAAAATAATGCTTTATTTGTTAAACTTGTTTTGTTCAGTTTATACATTATATATAAAAAATAAAGGTTATCACACCATGTAACATTTATCTGGCCGTAGCCAGCATCAAAATTCGGACCTCGCGGTCAATTATTTTTTTTACTTTTTTTCATTTTTAAATATTTCGATTTGATAATAATAATCATAAAAGTTATAATAATATGTTTATATAAAAATAACCAACAACCAGCAACAAACAAAAACACAAGATCTTTTTTTGAATTTAAATATATATTAACCTTGAGCTTTGCGTAACAACAAGTTTTTTGAAAAATTGTAACCAGTTTTTGCATTAAAAACTAAAAAAATTAAAAAGATAAAGTTTAGGAAAATCGAAGGAAAAAATAGTTGCGTTTTACTATTTTACTATTTCCGAATGCATTTCACGTGATTATTTTTCTCTTTTCCATTCCCGTAGAAAAACAGATAGGTGGAAACTTGTCTTAATAGCTATGTTACAAAATCTTTACAAACATCTAAACGATATAAGCTTAAAAAAAATATAAAAAAATATATATAAGTAAAGAAAAAAAAAAAATTATTTTCCTTATAGTATTACTTTTAACAATTTGTGCATATTGTGGAGAATTTTTAAGAGTATCCAAGCTGTTCCTAAACATTTTCTGTTAAATCTTTGTTAACATTCGCGAAATAAGACTTCATGAAAAGTTAATAAAGAATTGAAAAAAGAACATTTAAAATTTTCAAATTTCAGTAAATTCTTTTGTTTTTTAATACAAACACCTTCCCCTAGACTTTGTTAAAATTTTAATTTGTGTTTGTAAACATAAAGTTAAAAATAGTATATTTACAAAACATAGTATGATAAAAACGCAAAAAAAACTTTAACATTAAAAGTTAAAACATCTTTAAAGTTAGACCGGAAAAACTGTTTTGAGCTAAAACAGGATGTAACGAAAATCGTCAGCGCATGCGTATTTGTTACAAATTTCAGAAAATTGTAAACAAAGTTGTATGTTTTCAATATTGTCCAAAACAGAACATACTATATAATATAGAACATATTATAATAATTATGAATATTGTGAGCAAACACAATATAAAAAAACTAGTTTTTGACTAAAATAATATCTGTAATGAGCTATCATAACATAGTGTAGATATTATTATTTACTTAGTAGATTTTATTATATATATATTTTTCCAGATTTATTTTGGGTAAAAAAGTATTTCCAAATAAAAATGTTTTGATATAATGTGCGCAAACCACTTTCGATTTCCAATAAATTATATATTATGATATGATATGTTAATTGTATTGATTAATATAAAGAAAAAATGTAAAATTATAAATAATAAATTAAAAATTTTACACTTAAATATAAAAGTTTTTATACTCTCAATAAATATAAAAGTTTATGTTATAAATAATTTTATAGTTATGATTATATCAAAACTATTTATAACATTAACTTTTATATTTATTAAGTATATAAAAAAATTTTATTTACAAAGTGTAAGGAAAAGTTTACATTATAATATGTGTGTGTCTTTATGCATAATAATATTATATATATATATATATATATATATATATATATATATATATATATATATATATATATATATATATATATATATATATATATATATATATATATATATATATATATATATATATATCTGTGTGTGTGTGTGTGTGTGTGTGTGTGTATTTGTATACATACATATATATATATATATATATATATATATATATATATATATATATATATATATATATATATATATATATATATATATATATATATATATATATATATATATATATATAAATATATATATTCATATATATGAATATTTTACTAATAAAGATGACTATTATAAAAGAATACAGAATATGTATGCCCATTACAGTTGAAGAGGTATTATTTATATTAGTTAAAACAAAAAAGTTTTATACAACACATATAAATAAATTTTTTATCATGAATGCATAAACACCTCCTTCATACATGCTTTCATGCATGATAATGCACACACACATTTAAACATATTTAATAGTACCAAGTTGGTCAGCTATATATGATAAACAAACACAGCCATGAACAAAGTGAAAAGGGAGAAGGTGTAGAGGTTTTAGTAAATGAACCAAGCAATCATGAAAAGTATGGTGAAGGAAGATTTACTGAGAAACGTGTCCATCTAAACAGGTATAAATAAATGATAATAATATAGTTTTTTTCACAAAATAATCTATATTTTGATTTTTTCATTTTAAATTAATTACATTGACAGATTCTATTTTAATGTTTTTTGGAAAAAGTTTCAAAACTATTTTTCAATTTAAAAGCACTTACATGATTTTAAATTCTAATATAAGAATATTAACCTTAATTATATATCCTATGTAGTCTAATTATGTAAAATAATGTTATTAGTGGTTGTTACCTTTGAGTTGTTTGCTTTTTAGAATATGTCAGTCAGCTAAAAATTCAGTTTAACAAATAGAAATAATTTACATCCAATTAAAGTTTAAAAATGTCTAATTTTTGTTACTTTATGTGATATTATTGTCCCATGAGTTTAATTTTTGATTTAATGATCAAACAGACATATCTTAAGTGCATAAATTAATTTCAGTAATAAATGGTTATAGGTATACCTCTTTAAGGTCTAGAAAAACATAGCAAAAAATTCAGACTCTTAGTCACCCCTCTGAAGTGAAATTTCAACTTTTGGGAAGCTGTAGTATTATCACATTTGGTAATGCAAAGTGTGAATGATATGCTGGCACCTTTTTTTTTTAAAAAAAAAAAAGTTTTTGCAAACATGTTACATCACATCTATAATGTGTTATACACGATAAGATGTTTCAAACTTTAAATCATTAAAACATGTTAGAGAACTTCTTATCCAAATTGGCAGACCAGACCGAAGAAGCACTAGACCTAGTTGCTCTCATGCTATTTTTTTCAGATTTTTTTGTTAGTTCCACTAAGTTTGATAGTTTTGGTAAAACAAATTATGCTTTGTAACTACTATTTGTAACAAATTATGCTTTGTAACTATTTGCTAGCACTATTTTTTATAATTTGTTATAAAATACATATACTTTTTATGCTAATTTTTTTCCCTAGAAATTTAGTGGTTGCATATATTGCATAGAAGAATCACCACCTGATTCTATTATATGCAGCTAGTGCAAGAAGTTTTGGTCGTTCTTATATGGGTCATACAGAAACAACTGCTTTCATTATGTACACTGAAAGCAGTTGTTTCTGCATGACTCATATGCTCATGACTGTTAGGATTTAGGATACAGAGGATTTAGGATACTTAGGATACAGAAACAACTGCTTTCATTATGTACAATGAAAGCAGTTGTTTTTGTATGACTTATATGCTCATGACTGTTAGGATTTCTTTGGGGGCAAAATAGTCAGTTTGAGTATATTTTTGTTTTTTTAGACATTAACTTTTTAACTTACAAAAAAAAAAAATACTTTTTGCAATTTGAAAAGTTTATTTTGCAAAAGGTTTCATCATCTTTATTATATTATTGTGCACAAGTTTTCTTTGTTTAAAAGTTTATATAGCTTTTTTGAACAATGCTTTAATTTTTCCATTAATAGCTTCGGATTTTTTTTTTCATAATATGCTTTATATTATTGTTTTTTTTTTCATTAGTTTTTTTTTTTTTCATTAGCTTTATATTATTTTTTTCTCTATCAAATGGTGCATTAAATTTTTTTTTCAACATCTTTTCTTCTAACAAGGTCAGAAGTAAGAGTTAATCCTAGAAAATGAAGAGTAGATGACTCATCGAGTACATTACGATTTATAAATATAGGAAGATAAATTGCAATAACAATTAGCTGAAAAAAAATGAGCTTTATCTCAGCTAAAATATGAGTTCTCAGTAGCTGGTTAAAATTCACCAGCTACTGAGAACCCATATTTTAGCAGAAGTGAGATCTTTTTCAAGTTTAAATTCCCTATCCAAGCAATCAGTGAGTGTTGGCTTCATATCAAGACAAGTATAAATGGTAGTGTCATCAGCAAATGATTCCATTTTCCATGTGAAAACATCTGGAAGATTATTAATTAAAAAGAAATATCCAAGTATCCAAAGTAAATTTAAAAAGGTATTAGGCCAAAGATAGAATCTTGAGAAACCCCTGAAGTGACAGGATAAGAGGAAGAGTGCTGTCCATGGAGGACAACTTATATACTACAATTGGTAAGGAAGGATTCAATAATTTTAAAGATGTTACCTAATACACTGTAAGAATAAAGCTATTGGTTATTAATGTTAGCAAATCAGCTGTAGAATGAGAAGATCAAAATCCATATTGGACGATAGTTAGGCGAGTCATATCGTTCTCCAGAGTTTTTAAAAATAGGGATAACAGATGCTGCTTTCCATCAGGCTTGAAAACAAGACTCTAATAGGCACTTGTTAAATAGTTTTGAAAGTATAGACGACAGCTTAAAAGAACACTTCTGCAAGACTATAACAGGTATGTTTTAGTCTTGCAGAATGTTTATTGTCTTTAGGTGAGGTGACAAAATCTGAACCATACAAGCGTGGTAGAACAACAGATTTGCTCTTATTATAGATACTATTAAAGATTCTTCAGAAGTCATAAAAATCTAATTTTTGAGATAAAATACAAGATTTTGTGACCTGAGAATAGTGGGCTTTGGCTTTACACAAAAGTCAACTTTAAGGTAGTTGTAAGAGGAACAATGATAAAGGGATTCTGAAATTTTCCCACAAAATCTCTGACATAAGTTTACCTTTATAGTTTTTTTTATTACCAAAAAATAATTTCAACTTAAGATTGAGCAACAATGCTTTGAAACATCAACTTGTAACAAAACAGAATTTTGAAGAAAAATTATGAAAACTTTTTATTAGTTTAATATTTATTAAATCATTTTAATCTGATTAAAATGATTTAAACCAAGGTTAAACGCCAATGCAATCAATCAATAATATTTTACCTTAATTTTGCAAAAAAATGATTAACCAAGGTTAAACGCCAATGCAATCAATCAATAATATTTTACCTTAATTTTGCAAAAAAAATGATTAACCAAGGTTAATCATTTTTTTGGAACTTTTAAGGTTTTTACTAAGTATCCTTTTTTTTTAACCCTTGAATGCAACAGGGTGAAAGACCAATAGCAACATTAAAAGTTCTTCAAAAGTTATCTGGTATCAGCAGACCAATTCTGTTATCATAAAAAATTAATTAACAAACTGAGAGAGGAAATAGTCATGTCCAAGATATGATGTTTACTTTTTTGCACTGGCTTTCCAAATTTGATATTGATATGAATAAAATCATTCTCAACGTGAAATTGCTGTCATCAAGCATACACGTTTCAAATGTTTGACTTGTTCTGTTTGCAATTTTGGCTTGTGTTTTCCTTTTAATGTCAACTATCTTTACTTTACTAATTCAGCTTACACAAATGACTGTAATTGCTATGAAAATTTTGAACTTAAAAAAAGATTTAATGAATGATAAAGTTATTCCTAATATGTTTTAAACGTTTTACTATGAATTTAATGTTTTTAAATATATTTTGAAATTCTTATCATCTTTAGTAAACTTCCTTCTTGGATTCAATCTTATGTGCCAAAGATATTTTATGTTACAGAAAAAGCATGGAACTACTATCCTTATACAATTACTGAATATAATGTATGCAGATTTTTATTTCTAAATAAATTATTGTTGTTATTATTTTTATAGTTTTTATATTTAACTAGTATTAATTTTAATAATACACAGACTTATTTACAATTAAAGTAATTAAAGGGATTCCAAACCTTCGAGACATGTTGTGTTCATATTAAAGAAAATGATAAAAAGCAGCATAATATATGCTGCAATCTACAGGCTTGATCATTTATTCAAGCGCGTTTTATTCCTAAAAGAGTTAGTACATGATGTCATTGATTTTTTTTTTGTTACATTATCAATTTTTTACATAAAAAAAAATCAATGACATCCTGTACTGAAACTCCTAGAAATAAAACACGCTTGAATAAATTATCAAGTCTGTAGATTGCAGCATATATTATGCTGACTTTTTTGCCTAGAACAGAACAGAGAAGGTGAGCTTCAACTAAAATTAAAAAAATAATTTTTCTTGGTATGCATTCATTATTTTGTTTTAATCAAAAAAATTTAGTCCAAGCATTTAAATCCTCAATGTTCTATTATTTTTATTACTTTGTTTTTTCATAGTTTTTTTTTAATACACACATCAGCTGACCTGAATAGGTAGAACATGTGAGGAGTGTACTAACATTGACTGACTTAAATAGGTGATCATGTATTGAATTTACATATATTGACTGGGGGTTGTGGTTTAGGCAGGCAATCTTAATGCCAACCCAAAATAATAATTAAATGATGTTAATAATGTAAAATACTATTCAGAAGGTAAAATAAAAAATTCAAGTAACAAAATGTCTAATTCATAAAAATAAAGTTGTTCAGGATGTAAAATGACAAGATTTTACCATGGTAAAATCTAGTGAAAAATACCAATTATGAGGTAAAACAATAATATCACAAGGGAAAATTTTATTATTTTCATTATTAGCATTATTATTATTATTATTATTATTGCTATTATTATTATTGCTATTATTATTATTGCTATTATTATTATTATTATTATTATTATTATTATTATTATTAATATTATTATTATTATCATTATTGCTATTGTTATTATTATCTTATTATTATTTCTTTACAAATTCTAGTTATTGATTTAAAATTCGATTATTATTTTTTAGAAACTTTTAATTATGAAAAAGTTTTAAAAAATAAATACTTTTTTTTACTTTTTTAGTGCTCTTTTTTGCCAAGATTTTCGATTGTTGTCAAAACAGGATATAAAAATGACAATGGTTGTACAGAAAATGTAAGTGAATTTAATGTTTAATCTTTTGAGTGATAAAATTTATTTTTCTCAAATCAAGTTTCACTCATCATTTTTGGTGAGAAAATAATTTTAATTCAATTCAATGACAAAAGTGTTATTAATCCAAATATGTCTAAAACCACAATCTTGAGCTACTATATTTATTTCACATACACTATTAGTAAAAAGTGGTATTGTCCTACTTTTATGATTGATTGTATCAGTGTTTCAAGAGGTGATGGTCAACGTTCAACAGACTTCAAAACAGTTGACAATAAAGTTTTAACCTTCTGGCTCAAAATTGGCTTTCCAGTTTGCAGACCTTTTCTAGTGGTTAGGTTAAAGAGTATTCATCAGTTTTTTCATTTTTATTTTCAGTATTTATCATTTTCAACAGTTAAAGCACAAAAGTAGAAGATTTGTCTAAAAAAGAAAGGACATCATTAAAAAATCTAGCTCATATATGAAAACAATTTTCCATTCAAGGATAGTTAAAAGATTTTTAGATCTAGAATTCAAGGACAGGTAAGAAATATTAGATCTAGATTTTAAAATCTAGAATTGAATCAGGAGTAAGAAAATTACTTTCACAATAAAAGTGAGGCAACTTTAGCATCTGAACTTTGCAATTGATTGTTTATATGGTTTTCATAAGAGGTCATTGGAAGCATATAACTCAAAAAAACATAAAGTGGAGGACTCAGTAAGAGTGTTACCATTTATCAAGTTTATTAACAATATTAAAAAAAAATTGATATTGTAAATGATAAATGATAAATGTAATTCACAAGTCACTGTGAACTGTCACAAAACGCATTTGAGATCAACTGTCTTCTACATGCCTAGCACATGATTTTAGACTAATCATTTTAAGCATATAAAAAAAGTAGTTCTAAAAATGCTTACTACTTCTTATCATTAGGTTTCAAAAAAACATGACATCTTACTAAAATAACATACTACCGCGGCTTTATTTCATACATCAACTGACTAAATCTGTAGGACATGCAAAGACTGCTGCTAAATTGTCTACAAGTTTGGGTTATGGCACTAATTTTTTTTTATTATTCTTTATTTTTTTCTTCGTTTTATGAAAAAACTATTAAAACTGTATGTAACTAAAAAAAGTTGACAAATGTATATCTGTATACACTTTAGTAGATACAATTACTGTAAATAGATTAATATACAAACTAGCCTCTATTTAGTTTGTCACACAGACAATTTTTTTTAACTGAAACTCTAGCCAAGGCACTAAATTATTTTCCCAATTCAAAGAAAAAATGGCCATAAAATTTAGATCTTGTTTAGCACACTGTATAGTTACAAATGCATTTTATATTTGTATACATAAAAATATATAAGCACATACAAATATAAATGCTCAAATTAAAAACTTAAGTCTGTGCAATTCGCTGTAATTATGGCTGAATAAATTAGTGGATGTGTTTCACTCTGCTACAACTATGTATAAATCAGTTGATGTATGTATACTCTGCTGCACCTATGGGTAAATCAGTTGATATATATGCACTTTGTTTCACCTCTAGATAAATCAATTGATGTACCTACAATCTGCTTCACCAAAAGCTAAACCAATTGATGTATGTGCACTCTGCTTTACTTATGGCTAATTCGGTGGATTTATCAACTGATTTAGCCATAGGTTAAGCAGAGTGTACATACATCAAATGATTTAGCCATACAGCTATATCAGTTGATGTATGTACACTCTGCTTAACCTATGGCTAAATGAATTGATGTAGACTCACTGTGATTATCACTAAATAATTCAGTTAAAATAACAAAAATAAAAATGTAAAGGAAATAAGGAAAAATAAAAAAAAATAAAATAAAAGTTAAATGAAATTAAGGTTAAATGAAATAAAATTTAATTGAAATAAAATTGAAGCAAAAAAAAATTAAAAACAAATTTAAAAAACAAAAACTCTCTGGTAAATAAAGTTGCATTTTACGGGTTTTTGAAAAAGTGATTAAATTTAATTAGTTTCTTTAATTAAATTGATGTTTTTTTACTTATGGTTGTGAACTTAAGCATGCAGTATTCATACACATATATTATGTATATACATATAGATTGTATATATATTGTGTATATACAAAATATTATGTGTATATGCAGTATATATACATTAGGGTATGTCATCATTGCATTTTTTTTTCTAATTGTTTTGAATAGCAAAATAATATTTCTCTTACATCTTAACATCCTTAAAAAGAAAAACAAGTTAAAATTAATTTTTCCTTCCTTTGCTGCCTAAAAAATGATTTTTTTTTCGGTATTACAATTTATGTTATGTAAAAACTATGCAAAAAATATGCAAAATATATAAATAAAACAAATGCAAAAAATGTACATAGATAATTATACACAAAAATACAATAACATAGTTATTTTCTTGTCATATCTTCAACTTTTTTTAAAAGTAAAAACAAAAAAATACAATATAAAAGCATGAATTTTTATTTATTTATAGACTTTCACGAAAAACCTTCGTAACTAACGCTGGTAACAGAACCATTTTGTCCTATGTGTTTGAAAGTTCAATTTTTTTTTGTATTACATGTTGCATTTAAATGAAGATTACTTAAAAACACAAAATTGTATACAACAACACAATTATGTAATTATGTTATGCAATTTCACAATTATGTTAATTATAATAACATAATTATGCATAATAACATGGTTATGCATAATAACATAATTACATTAGGACTAGAATTAGCTCGATCATTTCTCATGACCAATGTGTTTATGTTTTATAAACTCCATTTATTTTTTGACGCAAAGTGTGGAATATACTTTCAAGATAAAAGATTTTGCTCTAATATATCTGTCTTTTCTCCAAATTTGTCTGCTGCTGCTTCTGTAACCAATTTAACATGCTTTATACACTTTGAAAATGGCATGAAAAAATCATCTAAAGATTACTTTTGTATATTTTGTGTTTTAATTTTTCAAATTAAATCTCTTAAAACTCTTTTAACATAGGTATAGGAGTGGTCTTTTAACATAGATTTAGGAGTGGTCTTTTAATATAAGTGTAACAGTGGTCTTTTAACATAAGTGTAGGAGTTCTCTAAAGTTACTTCCAAAATAATATGATAATAAACTGCATCAAAGTTTAGAAAAGAAAATTTTGAATTTTTTTACTTCTGTAGAATTTGCAACTGTGCATTGTCTTGCAAATTTCCAAACTAGAAAATAAAAAAATTTTTTAATAATGTTTTTGTTTTTGTTTATCTATTGATTTATTTTTTTATTGATCATTTGGGAAAAAACAATACGTACTTAAACGTACTTTTTTTAACGTATCGTTTTTTCCGAAATGAACATTATTTTTGAAATTTTTATATAATTTCGGTTCATTTGAGTACCAGGTTGACATAATTTTTAAAAACTTTTTTTTGAAAATATTAGGGACCCATTAAATATTCTAGGGTCTTGAGGGACCCTTTAAATTATTTTTTATTGAAAAAAAATTAAACTTAGTGTTTTTGTATTAGATAGAACACATTTAGGGGGTGATAGCAGATTATTTTGAAAAAAGTTGTTTTTTGGGACACCCTAATATATATATATATATATATATATATATATATATATATATATATATATATATATATATATATATATATATATATATATATATATATATATATATATATATATATATATATATATATATATGTATATACATATATATATATATATATATATATATTAGAGTGGATCAAAAAAAAAATTTTTCTTGTTACAGGCTCTAAACATTGCTAATAGTTATTAATATTGATACAATATAAATGAGAATGATTGTGATAGATATATAGGGTGCAATTTTATTGGGAAAATTACCGATACCTTAATATTTTGGAGAAAAAAAGTTTTTCAAAAGTAGGTCAACCTGTACTCAAAAGAAGCGAAATTTTATAAAAAATTCGAGAATAATAATCGTTTTATAAAAATTATATTGCGGAAAAAAATTGTTTTTAAAAAACATGTAAAAATGCACCTTTTTCACTTTAAGTTAAAAAACTATAGTTATTATGCAATAAAATCTAAAATAATAATTTTTATATGAAAAAATTATTATTTTTGAAATTTTTATAAAATTTCGCTTTATTTGAGTACCTACATCACATAATTTTGAAAAGCTTTTTTTTTTAATAATAATAGGGCCTGTTAATTTTTGTAATTATAGTTGCGGGTGGAAGACATTGTTCAATCCATAAAAGTAAATACTTTCCTTAATAAGTACATAAAAAAAAAACTTTCTAGCAATATTTAGAGCCTGTAACAAGAAAAAAAATTTTATGACCCACCCTAATATATATATATATATATATATATATATATATATATATATATATATATATATATATATATATATATATATATATATATATATATATATATATATATATATATATATGTCAATGTATGTACATTCCCTGCATGTTCTACCTATTTGAGTCAGTCGATTTATGTACACTCATGTCAATAAAATAAAAATAAAAATAAAATGATGATAAATCTTTTTTTTTTTATATTTCTTTTATTAAAAGAAAAAAAAACAGTATAAATCAATAAATAAACAAAAACAAAAACATTATTTAAAAAATTTTCTCTTTTCTAGTTTGCAAATTTGCACAGTTGCAAATTCTACAGAAGTAAAAAAATTCAAAATTTTCTTTTCTAAACTTTGATGCAGTTGATTATCATATTATTTTGGTTGATTATCATATTATTTTATATATATATATATATATATATATATATATATATATATATATATATATATATATATATATATATATATATATATATATATATATATATATATATATATATATATATATATATATATATATATATATATATATATATATATATATATATATATATATATATATATATATATATATATATATATATATATATATATATATATATATATATATATATATATATATATACACAGTGGTGTACACTGGATTTTAAGATGTTTGAGTTTTGACATTTACAGGCATTGTTCAAACTCCAAACTTTTGTATGTTCATGCTTATGTCAAGTGAGAATGCTTTGCAAAGAGTTGTGGTGATTAGAGCTTGGGGACAAGAAAACCCCAATTTTTGGGCCCACCCAGCCCTTAATGTGGGAGCAAAGAGTTTATAAAATAGTTTCTTTAGTATTTTTATCTAAGTTTATATTCATCAACAAATTTCAAATTTCATGCAATAATCTCTTATTTTTTGGAAATTATGACCATATAAAATTTTAACCCCCTCAATTTGAGAGGGCTGTAAACATTGTAGGGTCATAAAAGCTAAACACAAAGTGGTTATTGCATGAAATTTGAAATTTGTTGATGAATATAAACCCAGATAAAAATACTAAAGAAATTGTTTTATAAACTTGTTGCTCCCATTTTATAGGCTGGGTGGGCCCAAAAATTGGAGTTTTTTTTGTCCCTAAGCTCCAATCACCACAACTCTTTGCAAAACATTCTCATGTCAATGTATGTACATTACCTGCATGTTCATGCATATATATTTATTATATACATGTATAATATTTATTTTTAAATTATAAAACTATTACATTATACTTATTTTATATCAAAGATTACATTACAAATATTAATTTATTTGTAAAGTATTTTTGTTGTATGATATTCTTTTTATTTATTTATAGCTAAAAAAAAACGTAATTTATGTATATGCATAAATGTTTGAATATACTGTTCCTAAAATATATATAATTAGTGATGATTAAAGTAGTCTTGAAATGAAACTAAAAGTCCTTAAACTTTCCTCATCTTCAAAATCAAATCTTTTATTTTAAAATCTTTTTTTTTACAAAAATTCAAAATATTGAAAAAAGTTAAGGTTGTTTAAAAGTAAAGCATAGACACGATGGTAAAATAAATCTGTGTCGTTAGACACAGATTTATATGTCAAACATAAATCTTGACCAAACAGCAGTTAAATGTGAATCAATCTAAATTCACTCTTTGTTCTCAACCTTGTCTTTTTTGTTCAAAGCTTTTTTCTTTTAGTTCTTTAAAATCTTTATAGTTGTTCAAAATCGTTTTCTATTTTGTTTATAATTTTTCTCTCTAAGTATTGATATATTTTACTACAGAAGCTTGCCTCACTGAAGCCAAATGCTACTACAGCTGAGGAGGACTTCTATAGAAAAGATACTATTTTTTATTTTTTAACAGACACAGTAATGAGTTTGTTTTTCTCAATGAAGTTTGATATGAATGGGTGCTTTATGACAAAACACAAACCTGTTAAGAGAAATAGAGGGTGGGTGATAATGATAAAAATGATTTTAATAACAATAAAAGCGATAAAAAAACAAAAACAATTAAAATAATAGTAGAACTGACTAGATGTCAATAGTAGTGTATATTAGTTTAGTATTGTTTCTAATTATGTTAAATTATTAAGATTATGTTAAATTACTCTAACATACAAAATCTTTTATAATCATTTAACCAGTCTTTTTTTTCTCTTTCTGAAATAAACTGATTTTATAGTGATAATGATAAAAATGATTTTAATAACAATAAAAGCAATAAAAAAAAAGCAATTAAAATAATAGTAGAACTGTCAATAGTGTATATTAGTTTAGTATTGTTTCTAATTATGTTAAATTATTAAGATTATGTTAAATTACTCTATGATTATAATCATTTAACCATTTAAGTCTTTTTTTTCTTTTTCTGAAATAAAATGATTTTATAGTACTCAAATCCAATCATCTATGTTTTTTATACAAGCACAGATGCTTAAAGTCTATGAACTAAAACACAGATGCTTAAAGTCTATGAACTAAAACACAGATGCTTAAAGTCTATGAACTAAAACACAGATGCTTAAAGTCTATGAACTAAAAAACAGATGCTTAAAGTCTATGAACTAAAACTAAAGGAAAATGTTTAATATGTGTAAATGTAAAAGTATTGTTATCAATTTACAAACCAACACTTTATTTCATTTTATTTGTAGACATAAATTATGTAAATAAATATTATACATAAATTAAGTATGTATAAATTGTAAAACTTTAATTCTTGAATAATTACATCTTTAAAAAATTGGGTAGGCGAGGAGAGTTTACTTGAACCTAGTTATATTTCTAAGAATTTTACTTTTATTTAATAAAACACTCAATTTTTTTTTACATATATAGTTTTTAGAATTAGAAGGAAAAGAACTAGAATCTAGGGAGATTGTACACATGGATATTGCTTTTGATGAGTTACCTGAAAAACATTATAAAAAAGAAGAGGTATTTATTTAATTTTATGTATATTTTATTGGTTAGTTGATACGTTTTGTTTAAAGGTAAAAAAACAAAGTTGAGTTTTATCATATGCACCATGATGTTTATTGGTTGAAATTAAAGATGTGCTCTTGAGAACCTTAAGTAAACTATCTAACAACTATAAATGTTAGATTTTAACAGATTTTAAAGTTTATTTAAAAAATTTGATTATTGATGTGATTTTTATTTTTTACTTTCTTTTTTCAATTACAATCTTCAATTATATGGTTTGTAAAAAAAAGATGCTTGGTAAACAATTTTAAACTAATTGACTACTCAATTTTTAATAATGACTTATTTTTTATTGTGTTCTTACTTTTGTCATTGTATTAGTATATTTTTAAATAATCTTCTGTTAATTTTTGTCATGACAATTGTCAAAATATGCATGAGAATAGAGAAGAATTATTTTTCGACAATTTGTCAAAAAATAATTCTTCTCTATTCTAATGTACTTCATTTTTCTTTAAGGCATTCACTGCTTGTGTATGTGTGGTATCTTTAAAATATGCTGGTAATTGTTCAGCAATGGCTGAATAAACTCTGTGATAAAAAAAGATGGTGCCAGTTAATGCCTAATTTGTTCATGATTTGTTCATTTAAATTAGAATGCCTCTTTTCTTTCCCTTTTACAGATTTTATAAATCCATCCTCTAAAGTCTGCATCTAACTCATTTTAAGTCTGCTTTTAACTTGTTTCAAGTCTACTTCTAACTTGTTGATCAAGTCTGCTTCTAACTCATTTTAAGTTTGCTTCTAATTCATTTCAAGTCTGCTTCTAACTAGTTTCAAGTCTGCCTTTAACTCATTTTTTTTAGAAAACCTATTTTTATACTTTTTTTTTTTGAATTTTCTGAAAAGTTGAAAAAATCTTTTTGATTAAGTTAAAATCTTTAATATAAAATTTTTTAAATACATTTTTAAAATATGGATCCCATTTTTAAAAACCATATTCCCAGTGCAGCTAAAATTGGTAACATATATAATAATTTTTTTATATTTCATCAGGATAAACAATGGTTTGCTTTAACAGACTCAATTTTTAAAATGCTTTGTTAATGATTATTTCAATATAATTTTTCTATTTTAAATTGTTTGAAATATAAATACCAAAGTCTTTTTTAATGATGTTACTACTAGTTAATGTTTTTAGTCTTTGTTTTTGTAGCATTATACTTTAGGTTACAACTTTTAACTATTGTAAACTAACGTACAACCAATATGCATGGTTTTTCATTAGTTTGCAATACTTAAATCTGATAATCATTTTTCTTCCATAATATATACAGGTATATCAAATTTATTAAAAAATTCTTTTTGATGTTAATAAATTAATTTTGATCAAGAGTAGAGTTTTTCAGTAGAATTCAAAAAAAAAAAAAGATATTTTATCTGTGTCAGTAACTTATGTTTTGATTTAAATGTTGATAATAACCTGTAACCTGTACATGTTCCTGAATATTATTTTACTAAAAAAACTGGAGCACTTTATAAAGGCAGCAATGAAAGCAAGCGGAGTTATTGCTGTATTTATTTATTTTAAATTGAATTTTTAGAAACTTATAGATTTAAAAAAAAATAGATAGAAGTCTAAAAGAAAGTAAGAAAATAAAATTTAAATAAAATGTAGATAGAAGTTTTATTCATGTATTTAAAGAATTCAAGAAGTTTTCTTATTCTATTATTCATTTCAATTTTTAATTTGAATTGAAATATATAACTGCATTATACAGTTATATTTAGTTTATATATTATATTTATATAGTTATATTACATTTATATTATAATTATAGAGTATATAGTTATATTAATTATTATTAAACTTTATCTACAAAAAGCTTACCAGTTAGTAGAAGCCAGACTTTGCCATAGAACAGTTTTATCAATTCTCTTTTGTGCTTTGTTAATTCCATTTTATTTTACTCTTCATAATATGGCTCTCAAGCAATGATCTGGTTTTTCAACAAATCTATAACTTTTTTTTAAGTATTTTTTATTTTAAATTTGTGGATAAATAGTATAAATAGTATGACAAAAAAAAACAAAAACGTATTTTGTTAATAAAGTTTTTAATAATTTGGAATAATGAGGTAATGTATTTATATTTGTATGATGTTGGTAGCAGTAGGTTTTCAGATGAAGCAAACAAATAAATAAGTAGAATAGAATGAATGAGAAGATCAATGCACTTGATGACCATGATAAAATTATTGTACTTCAAGGCACAATTTTACTTTGTATAGATTGAGCAACTATGAAAAGTATAAATATAGCAAATGTGTTTATCAAGTTTAAATTGTTAAAATATAAATGTAAAAGTACAGCAGATATGAGGAGTTAGAACTACTGAAAGTTTTGTGTAAAAAGAAATATGCAAACATGTCATCACTTTAAAAAAGTGATGACATGTTTGTATATTTTTTTCAGACTTCTAGATGCATCACATAATTTTTTTACTGCATTGTGGCTCAATTAAAGTGTGTCAATGCTGGTTGTAGCTGGTTAGTTGAAGAATTAGGCAAAATCAAATGCAATTCAAAATATTAAGATCAAATCATAATATTTAAGATCAAATATCAAATCAAAATATCAAATCAAATATCAAATCAAATATCAAATCAAAATATTTTAGATCAAATATTTAAGATCAAATGCAATTCAAAAATTTTAAGACAGAAAGCTTTGAGTATGTCCTGGATACCTACTATTCTGTGTTTTCCACTTAAATTTATGTTTTCTATTCAGAGAGTATGCAAAGCCCTTGGAATTTGAATTACACTTAAAGTTTTAACTGTTCTTAATCACATATCTGAGTTAATACTTGAAAACACCATGTAAAAATTTCCTCAAACTCAAAAGAAATTTTTAGGTCTTAGGTTTTGGGGTTATTGCAGTCTTCAGAACGCCTTCATAAAAGTTTTAAGAACAAGAAAATGTTCTTCTGTTTATGAATATTTTATCAAGCTATGAAAATCAGGCACTTACAAATGAAATTTGTATTATTCAAAGTGCTGCAAAATACTAAAAGAATTGTACTGGTGTGTACTGCTTAAAAAACTTCAGATTGAATAACCAAGTCAATAATTCAGATTCAATAGTCAATTTCAATCTTCTTGTACTAAAAGATTCTTTGGTGCATTAAATGGAGGCAAAAACCCATTCAAAAACCCATTGTAAATGTAGTTGGACCTCTATCTTCTAAGCTTCATATTTTTGTAAAGTTGCATCTCTTTTTCTTTTCTACAAATATTATCATGATCCTGATGATATTTGTAGAAAATGAGCTCCATCAACCAAAACTTATTCTTGCTTGACTCACCATTCAGAATAGTTGCATCTTTTTACTGTATCTGTTCCTTCATGCTCTAAAAATATTTATTTATATAGTTTTTTTCCTGCGTTTCAATGCTTTGGAACTCCCTCCTATTTTCACTTACAACTTTTTAAATCTTCTGTCAACCATTTCTTTGCTCTTTGACACTATATCTAGACACTGTTTTCTAGTAGTACCCTCGTTAATAATGGTTACTTGCAGCCTTGCTGGTATTAAATTAAATTAAAAAAATAAAAATAATGAGTAATCAAAATCAAAAATTATTAATATTATATGTAACACAATCCTTAAAAAAGAACCCTGTTTTTGTAGCGTTAACTAAATATAGAAATGTATTTATTTTAAATTGAATAGGTTATTTTGCCATGTTTAAAGTCAACCTTTAGACATATTTAGCTTTGGCTTAGGGCTACGTTTGCAGTCAATTTTGTGTACATTTGCATTAAATTTTTAATACATTTTTATATACATGTTGTCCTTTGTGAAATATTTGTTTTATTAATGTCGTTTTAGTTAATATAATTCTTTTTTACCCTTTATTTTTTAATTTAATTTTGCTCTTAAACTTGATTCTTATGAGAATATTTTACGAGATTTTTTTGTTTATTATATATTTAATAGGATTGCAGATACTTCAAATCTAAGAAAACTGACAGAGGTCCACTAGAACAAGGATGGAGGGTTAGTTATTTATTATGCATTGATTGTTTTTATGTTTACATGGATATATACATTGATTATTCATTTTGTGCAACAATATTAAGGGAAGGATTTTTTAAAATTTTTTAACTTTTGTTCATTTAATTAAAATACTATTATAACTATTCTATACTGTTTTGTGTTTTTTCTCTTTAAGTTTTATAAAATTCATAGCATGTTAGTAATATTTATACCTAATTAAACGTTCTGTTATGTATTTTATTAATTTTTTTTTGTTTGTTTGTGCTATGCTTGTAATTTTCATAAATACTTTCATACAAGGGTGTTCCAAGCTAGCTTGGGGCCCTGGGGGAAGTTGGCTCAAACCAATATATATGTATATATATATATATATATATATATATATATATATATATATATATATATATATATATATATATATATATATATATATATATATATATATATATATATATATATATATATATATATATATATACATATATATATATATATATATATATATATATATATATATATATATATATATATATATATATGTATATATATATATGTATATATATATATATATATATATAAATATCCTTAAAACAGCACCTGCATATAATATTTTCAAAAAATCCATACTATGCCTACAAGAAAAGTTTGAAATAATTACACATGGAAACGGAAAATGTATATTTAATAAAAAATCAGAATTGATTTCTAAAATAAATTTCTTCTTATTAATTATAAAAATGAGTGAGCTCAAAAAATAGTTATATTAAATCTCCTTTAAAAATATATTAAAAAAAAACAAAGCAAAAAAACAAACGCTTCTAAGGAATTCTTTTTTCAGTTGTGTTTATGGTTCCCTGTAATTTAATTTTTGTTATAAGTTGAAGTTTTATTAATTTGAACATTCATTTCTGATGAGTCTTAATTGATAAAACACAATATAAAATCAAAAAGGTTTGACGAGTGATTTTCTACTGATTTTTGAAAAAATCAAATATTAGTAAGTAAAATTCTGAAAAAATCAAATATCAGTAAGTGATGTTAGAAAGATGTGTGCAAAATATGAAACAACTGGTTCTGTTGAAAATCAGAAAAAACTTGGTTGCCCCTCCAAGACTTCAACAAGAACTGATATGCTAATTGCACGTATAGTAAAAAAAAAGTTAACAATGCCCTTAAGACATATTGTTGAAAATCTTAAATTAGTGTTATACACACAAAAAAACGTTTAGCATTTGCAAAACAGCACATTAACACGAGGCATTTTGAAACTCAGTGTTTTTTATTTTGAAACTCAGTGTTTTTCATTTTGAAACTCAGTCTGATTAAAGTAAATTTCAAATATTTGGCTTTAAAAAATGACTAAGATTTTGATGCAGACCTTGTAATGCACTCTTAGATAATCTTGCAAACACTGTCAGGCATGGAGGTGGCTCACTTATGGTTTGAGGATGCTTTGCTTCAAATGGTGTGTGAAAGCTGGTGAATGTTGAAGGTATAATGACAGGACAATTTTTTGTTGATTTGCTTTCAAAAAATTGATGTTGATTGGCTAAAGAATTAAATTTAGATTGCTAATTCTCTTTTTCAACAAGACAATGACCCCAAACGTCCAAAGTGGTAAAACAGTTTCTCAAAAAAGTAAAGTTAACATTCATTTAGATTTTAAAAATTGCCCAAAATTTTTTAAAGGGGTTAAGGTGCGGGCTCTGTGGCAGCCATTTAATGGCTGCCACAGAGCCCGGACCTTAACCCCTTTAAAAAGTTTTGGGCAATTTTTAAAATCTAAAATATCTCCTTTAAATAGAACAAATAGAAACTTATGAGGTTCTTAGTGAAACATGAAATTCAATTGATGCTGATGTCACATCAAAGCTTTTAAAAAGCATGCCAAGATGTTTAGAACCAGTCGTAAAAGCTAAAGGTGGTGTACCAATACTAATGAAGATCAGACATGGTATTCTTGAATTTGTAATTAAAGTTATTGCAAAACATTATGCTTCATAATAAAAACTTTGATGTTTCTTACTTTTGTCACATTTTGTACAGAAAAATTGTAAGATTTAATTACATTTTGTCACATTTTGGACAGAAAAATTGTAAGACTAATTTCATTAAATAGAATTACTTTTGCTTATAAATATTCTTTTTTTCTTTGGAATCAAATTTAAAAAAGAAAATGTTGCAATTATGTATATCCTGATGTAAATAATTTTATTTTTATTTTTTGAGTTTTGATTTTATTAACAATGTTACTTAATTTTGTCTGTGACTGTATATATATATATATATATATATATATATATATATATATATATATATATATATATATATATATATATATATATATATATATCTTTGAAAATAGGTTGAACAGAATGTTTTGGAATATTTTTTATAGGTTAATCTGAATTTACAAGGATCAAGTACAAAATAAATTGAGATCTAAAGATGAAAATTTAGTTTTAAGTATTTATAAGCAAATGGAAGCTTTTGAGAAAACTTTGAAAAATACAATAAAATGTTGGAACGCAAGTAAGAATAAAGCTTTCAAATGAACTCAAATAAAATGTGAAAGATTACTAAAACTAACTTTTTTTACATTAAAATATAAGTTTTTTTTTTTACATTTATATACGAAAGTAATATTACTATGGGTTTATAAGTATAAGAATATACATATGTATATTCTTATACTTATATATATATATATATATATATATATATATATATATATATATATATATATATATATATATATATATATATATATATATATATATATATAATTGTACACTTTCTGATTTGTCTGCTGAAAGTATGTAGTATATTGTTATATTTAATAAAAATTAACTTAAAAGCTAATGAGTAAAAACAAAAGGTCAATGTATATACTGTAGCTATTGTATTTATTACTTACATATTGTATTATTACTATTTAAGTTCTCTAAGAAAATCATAGAGCATGTTAATGATTAAAAGTAACTTGTGCCTAACATAATTACTGAATACTCAGTATTATAAAAAATTTTAAAATGTTAAGTATTAATATAATTTTAAAGATTATTTAAAGTTTCATTTATATTTTATATTTTTTATTAAAGTTTATACTTTTTGCTATTAGAATTAAAACAAATTTGAATTTGAAAATAAGTTAAAAAAAAAAGAAGCTATAAATCATCTTTCCAACACCCCACCCCCTCATCCTTCTTTACTGCATCTGTTATTAACCTTCAGATCTTAATTTCTTTATTAAATTTGCAATTTTATATACAAACTGTAGGAAAGGCTGTACTATACTATAGAATGGCTATAAGTAAATGTTAATTCACTTGTAGATGAATACTGTTCCGATAATGTGTTCTTATAAGCTTGTTACTGTTGAATTTAATGTTTGGGGGTTAGCTTGGCGTGTGGAGAACTTTGTTCATAATGTAAGTTTTTATAAAGTTTTATTTTTATTTTTTTAATTTATTTTTTTAGGATGATACTTATGCATGGTATTTTTTTTACATAAAAAGTTTTTTGAAAGTTATTAAAAAAAGAAATTGCACATGATAGAGTTTTTTACTGTAATATTTTACGCTTTATTAAAATCTTTTTGTAACAGTGATTTTTTTTTTCATCTTGCAGGCAATTAAAGATATATTACTTCTTGGCCACAGACAAGCTTTTGCTTGGATAGATGATTGGTTTGGTGAGAAATTGCTCTTTTAAATAAGTGCTTTTGTCTACTTTTGTTTTGTTGTGTAACTCTAATATAATTAGTTTAAGTATGTTTTAAATATTAAATTAGTTTAAATATGACACTTGACAATATATGTCAAGTGTCATATCTAATCTATATCTATACTCACTTTTAGATATGACACTTGACGATGTACGTCAATATGAAAAGCACATGCAAGAAGAAACTAACAAAAAAGTAGTTGGTGAGAAAACAAGTCATTAGAATGTCAATTACTTTAGAAATGATCTAGCTCCGAAAAACAGTAATATAAGATTTGAGGCTTGGAAACTAGTTTATCTAGAACATACTATTTCAAAATTCAGTTCATTAACTTTGTGTATTGATGTTTTTTTAAACCATTAAAACATGACATCATTAATTTATGGTGGCCTAATTGTATATACCATAAAACATTGTATTTAAGTATAGCATTTATTTGGCGTTTCAAAATTCCACTTAAACAGTTGTTTTTATTTCTTGTATAACATTTTATTTGTTTTTATTTTATTATATACCATAATGGCATAATGGTATATATACCATAATGGCCGGGTATCATAATGGCAGATGGTAATTTAATACTGGAGTAACAAAAATTGAACTAATCTTTTTTTAATGAAATTGATAACAATTATTTAAAATAAATTTTTTATAATAAATTTTTTATAACTACAAGTTTACATTATGTATTTATGTTTTCTGTTAAAATGAATGAGGTTGTTTTATTGTGTTGGCGCGCATACATTTTTGTATTTTCTCAATGTATATACCTAGTTTGTATTATGTATCAATTGTATTTATCCTATAAATAGTTTCACATCATTTTAAAAAGATTATTTGCTTTGTTTTTTGTTTTACACATTAGAAGTTTACTTACATGATTGTGGTGTTTACATCGATGGAAACAAAGATGGAAAATAGAATTTTTTTAAATATACTTTGTTTATACCACTATCAACTGTTGCTGTTAAAACTAAAAAACTAAGTTAGACTTTTCCTTACAGAAAAAGTTAAGAATGGTACTACTAAGAGTGCAACTTTCTGAAAACCTTTTTCAGAAAATTACACTCTTAGTAGTACAAATTGAACTTTTTAAAGCCATAGAGCTTACAAAAAGCAACGACTATATTTTTTCAATGCTGTTTATCAGATTACATATATTTTGTTTTACATATATATAGTATATATTTTGTTTTACATATATGTATATATAACAAATATTTACTTATTCTTTATAGCTATGAAATGCTCAAGAAAAGTTTTCTGCCATTTTCTAAGTAGTTTTAACTAAATGATAGTATTTCTTTTTCATATGATGAAATTTATTTTCAAAATAAAATTAATTTTATAAAAGTTATACTAACTCCTCATTAAACTTTAAAATTGTTTTAAAATTTTAAAACTTATAAAAATGAAAAAGCCAAAATGAAATTATCAAGAGCTGTTTTGCAGCAATGTGTATCAGCTCGTTTGTTAGTCAAACCTGCTACTGATGAACAGCCTGCCGATTATGTGAAGGTGAGATTTTGTATTGAGCTAATGTTAAATGGTTTATTTTTAAATTTATTGTAGATGTTTAGAATAGAGTTGTCTAAGTTGAAGTTAATTTGATCTTTTGTTGTCATTTATACTCATATATGGCCATACATGAGTATTGATGAGTACATGAGTACTATCAGAAATGTATTTATACATGTATAGCCATTTGTGGCAATGTTTAACTTCTTAATAATATTTTAAGTTTTAAAACTTTCTGTTTGTTTAGATATCAAATGGTGTTGTGATATTTATATGTTTTATGAAAGGTGCTAATTCCATTTTAATTCCTAAGTTAGGTGAGATTTTGGCATATTTTGTTTAAAATTGTTTAATTATTCTAATAATTTTATTAATCCTTAATAACAATTTATAATTTAAGTAAACAATCCTTTTTTTAAAACACGGTTGTTTAGTATTTTGGCAACAACAGCAACAAAAAAAAAAAAAAAAAACTTTTGTTCTTTTTATTATTTATTGTTTTATGTATAATGTTGTGATATATTTTTTTGTTTATTATTTTATGGATTAATAATTATAATAGTAATAAAATAAATGTAATAAATAATAAACTGTTAAATTTTGTTTTTAATTGTAACTAAGGTTAGAATGTTGAATTTTTTAAATTTCCGGGTCTTTTCATAAATATTTAATAAAAGTAAATTGTTATAGTTTAATAAGCTTCAGATTTACATTGTAAGAAATATTTAAATCTCTGACTTAAAAAAAATTCTAAAGAACTTAATATCTATGAGTTATTTTCATTTAATGATAATCAGATTTTATTTAAAATTCAGAAAAAATGTCTGATTTTACTTGTATATTAAATTGTGCTTACATTGCTGTAACATTTTTTGAGGTTTTATCCTTGCTTTCCGTTAATTGGAATAAAGTTTATCATCTCCTTGATAAATTTTATTCCATGTGTGTTGAAATTAGGTTTGCTACAGTCTTGGTTCTTGTTGCTTGTTTATGTGGCAAGAAGGAGTTTCTTTTATTTGCTTAACTAAGTCTCTTCTCTCTAAGTTTTTTACTTCTTTATCTCTTTAAGTTTTTTATTTCTTTATCTCTCTAAGTTTTTTATTATAAAAAAAATCAGAAGCAAGAAAAAAACAAAAAACAAGACATGGTACTTTTACAGGTTTAAGTGTCAAAATCAATCTCGTCCAGCTAATTTTATTCAAATGATATAGATGAGTTTAAAATGATGAAAGACTTTGATTGAAGTCCATTTGTTAAGTAAGAGGAGACTGCCTTCACTCAAAATTTATTGTCTCAAAATTTATTGAATACTGTGAGCAATGTTAAAATGTTACTTTGTTATAATCAACATTTTTCATGTTTTTTATTAAAAACCTACTTGCTCAAATAGCAAAAAAAAATTGATAGAATACAATAAATATACTTTTTTTGCTGTAATTTCAGTTAAGACCTTGTTTAATTTTTTTGTTATTCAAAAATTTAAAGAAATTAAAATATTGCTCATAATCATTTTTATATTTACTTATTTAGAATGTTATTTTTAAATTACTCATAGTCATTTTAAAATTTTTGTTTCAGTTAAATGTCTTTTGGAAATCAAATTGAGTTATTGTGCAAAGCAAAATAAGCGTGTTTCAATATTAGAACTACCTGGAGACATTCTAATAGTACCGCAAGTATGTTTTTTTTATTTTATTTTGTTGTTGTCTTGTTTTATACTAATTTATTTTTAATTTTCAGAAATATGTCTCAAAGAGCAAAATATTGGTAAATTTGTAGCATAAGTCTGATATTTAGTTAATCTAATTGTGAGCTTAGGTAGAAGTTGGGAATAATCAGTGTATTTGATGGGATTCATCAGAGAAGGTCAAGGCGGTTTCATCAGAGAAGTTGGTTTGTACATTTAGAACATAAAGATACAGAAGATTAGATTAGTATTTTTTAGAAAAAAATATAAATCCAGATATATGAAAGCTTAGAAAGAGTGTGTAACAGGGTAAATATATGACCTTCGACTCATTACGAGGTGCAAGTTGTAAAAACCATAGAGTTGGGTTTAATGAAATTTGCAAGAGTGTTAAATAAGTGTCTTAAAAAAATAATTTTTTTATTATTATCACATTAATTTCATCAAACTTATTGTGAGATTAATTTAAATTCATTTTTGCATCTCAGTATTGATTGTTGTTATTCTTCTGCTCATTTGACTCTAATATTTACATGTTCTCATTTATGTTCAAAATGACACATGAAATGTTTAGCCTGGACACATAAATTCTTATTAATCATACTATATGACAGTATTGCTGTTTTTATGACATGCGTTATAAAAACAGCAATACTGTCATAAAGTTTTTACTCAAAAGTTTTATTTCACAAAAACATTCAGTATGACATGCATCGTACTGAATAACCATTCAGTACGATGCATGTCGTACTTGTTTTTGTTCATGTTTTTGTTCATGTTCATTTATCGTACTTGGTTTTGTTCACAAGTCGTTTTGGTAAAGCATAAAATTTTTATCTTTTGCTAATCTTACCTATATAGAGACCCCAGCTTGTGATCAGCATTTTGTCATTCTCCTTTAGATGGTTTGCTTTGATCACTTTCTCGATAAGGAGGTGAAAATATTGGAGTTAATAATTTTGATCTCAAAACAATTATCTCATTCTTTACATCAGACTCTCTTGACTGGTCATGTTATACTTTTTTTTTTTGCGTCTCCTTTTGATTGTGTTTTTGTTTCCCACCAACTGGAAATTGGCATCTATGGTTCCAATTTTCAAAAGCTTTGGAGATCATACTGACCCATTTAACTGTCACCCAATTATTCTTTTTGCTATTATTCACGAAGGTTTTTGAGTCATCAACAAACTTCTAATATCTCATCTTGAGTTTTGCTTATATTGATGAATTGCAATGTTTCTGGATTATATATTTTACTTTGTCAATTGGTTGATAATTTTAATCAATAATTATTATAATCTATAATAATTAGCAAGATTATATTTATTAGATATAGTTATTAACTATAATTATGTTTAATAATAAACAAAAAGAATAATTTTTTTTTCAAATTTTTTTCATGATTTGAATATAAAAGCATGTCTAAATTATGTTTACAATTTGTTTTTTTAATGTCTACAAGTAAAAGAACATTATAAGAACACCTAGCCCAAGATCTGATAAAATGTTTATTAATGTTGAGAATGGTAACAAGTAGAAAGAATGCCAAGCACATTAAAGAAAGACAACTTTACAAAATTAGAAATCCATTTAAAATGTTAGCAGATTGAATATATATTTCCTCACAAGGTCCGTAGTGAGTATTGAAGTAAATGAAAGTTATAAAACGTTTGCAGGATTTTGACAAAAATTTATCCTGACTACAAGCTGTAGAAGGGTTTTAAAAATAACTTCACAAACAGATGAAGACAAGACCCATATATGAGAAATGAAATATTAGACTTGCCTTTGTTAATAAGACTGTAACTAATTTTTTTAAAGTTTATAGTCTGACTTTTGCAAGAATTAACTGTTTGAGAATAATGGGCTTCAGCATTAAAAAATATCTTTTGCATCAGTTATTTCCTGCATCATTTTATCATTATAATAATAAAGACAAATGTTCTCAGGAGAAAAACCCTCTTGAAATAAATAAAAGAAGTCATTGCAATGAAAAATATGGGTTTTAATAAATTTTAACTAGAAATTGATGGGAAGGAATAAAAGATTTCATGCCTACCTGAATCAAAATCCTGAATCTTTCGAATTTATTACTAAAATATTTTTTTAATTTGTTTTATGTATTCATATAGTTATGTCGCCAGTTTTTGATTGTGTCTTAGAATTTATATCTTATTTATTTCAAGCAATAAATATAATTATTTAGACCAAATTATAATTATTTAGGCCACATTAGGTGGGAAAGTTAAAGGAAAGGTTGTTCAGTAAGTACTGTTATTATTATTAAAATATAAATTTTGCGTAATCAGTTTTTAAAAAATAAAAAACAAGTTTTGAAGATTGTTTAAGTTACTTTAATTGGTTGATAATTTTAATTGGTTGATAATTTTAATTGGTTGATAATTTTAATTGGTTGATAATTTTAATTGCTTGATAATTTTAATACACCGATTGAGCGAATTTAAAATACGTCATTTTTAAGAGGTCTGAACTCCAATAGGAGGGGTAAAAAAATACTTCCGCTACAATATTTACTTGAGAAAACGAAGTATAAACATCAAACTAAAACTGCTAAAACAAATATTTACTATAAAATTAATCATGGAGTACAATATGATTTCAAAGATGAAAGTTGAAGAGTTAAAAAACTATTTGAAATTAAGAGGATTAAAATTAAATGGTAAAAAAGAAGAGCTAGTTGCTCGTGTATTTGCTGCAATAGAAAACAATGTTCTACCAATAAAAACAGCAGTAGAAGTTGAGGCAGATTTAAAAAAAGAATATAATTTGAAACTGGAATTAGAAGATATGCAGATACCTGATCCATTCAAAATTCTTGATGGCTGGATGGACGAACAGGAGGGTATGCCATTCTGGCCAATGTTATTATATCCAGATATATTTAACTATTTAATGTTTAATCCCTCAGAACTCGGAAGTAATGACTTAAGTGACTATAAAGACTCAAAAGCATACAGCTACTATAAATCTTCCTGGCTTCAGCCTCTTATGTATCATAATTTAACAGGTAGTAATTACTGTATATTTAAATCAGAATGTCGGAGATCACAGTCTTAGACTTTGTTGGTGGAATTCCTTCAACTGCAAACCCTACACCTACATTATGTCTTGGATATGAAATACAAGCTAATAAATCTAGAAGAAAATTATTAAAACACCATATACCATTAAAAAAGCAAAAACTTGACTGCACTGCAACTACAAGTTGTTCGACTTTTATGATAAAAGTCGAACAACTTGTAGTTGCAGTGCAGTCAAGTTTTTGCTTTTTTAATGGTATATGGTGTTTTAATAATTTTCTTCTAGATTTATTAGCTTGTATTTCATATCCAAGACATAATGTAGGTGTAGGGTTTGCAGTTGAAGGAATTCCATCAACAAAGTGCATAGAGCATACCCTATCACTACCTGTTCGCTGCCATAATGTTTTATTTATAAATTCTCTTCTTAACGCTTTCACCCATAATTGTCTTTCTTTATTTTTCTGATTTACTGATGGAAATTTGTATAATTAAAATGGCTTTTCACATAATGAGCATTCCTCTCTGCTTATATTTTGATGGTGTTCATTGCATATTTCTTTTTTCCATTTTTTCAACCTATATGTACTATTTGCACAACCAATTACGGCACAATTAACTTTCGGCATCTTTAAATAAAAAGTTTGTTTTCTGATTATACTTAATAATTAAATAAATTTTAATTGAATGCTTTTGATAGATGTTTATACTTCGTTTTCTCAAGTTTTAATGGGAGATTTATAAGGTTGTCTCTACTTTTACCCCTCCAACGGGGTCTCGAACTCCCAAATTATAATGGCGCGTTACAAAGCTCAATCGGTGTATTGCTTGATAATTTTAATTGCTTGATAATTTAATCAAAATTATTATAAATAATATTACTGTAATACCAATGAATGTTACTTAATGAATTATAAAAGTTTTTGCTGTAGTGGTTAAGCACTTTCTTTGTAAGAAGTTTCACGTTTGATTTTCACCGTATCCCAGTTAGTACCGCACCCAACTTGTTTCTTCGCGCAGCGGCTTTTTGAAGGTGTTTCAAAGCTAAGTAGTTGAGAAAAGATTGTAACAACAAACAAATTAAAAAAAGATGAGTAGTCTTTTCGACTATAGTGACCGAAATGACATCAGGATGGCAAGTACCAAAAAATAAATAATAGAAATATATATTTTAGCCCGAGATTTGATAAGTTTTGCTCAATAATTCTGTAAAGCCTTAGAGTTGTTAGGTTATATACATAATGATAGTATCATTGTGAAAAAGTCATATACACAATGATAGTATCATTGTGAAAAGGTGGAAACTATTATCATTGTGAAAAGATAGAAGCTATTATTATTATGGTGAAAAAATGGAAGCTAACATAAACAAATTTTATTAGTTTTTTTTTTCTCCACGGAGCATTTAACCACAAGTTCATGCTTCCTTTGCCAACGTCACTTATTGGACTAGAGCAGGTATTGAAGCTCATGGTTCTGAGCCAAAACTCTAAACACTGTTCCACGGCTGCTTAAGTTATTATATTTTACCCAGTTATTTTAGAAATTAATTAAATATTTTAAATTAATAAGATATGTATATTAAATTATAATAAAAATCCAGTGCAAAGAATTCAGAATTGTTTTTAAAAGTTGCGATTCTCCTGAACACTTTAATATCCTAAGCTTTTCTGTTTAAAAATCTGTTTTTATTTTTCTTTGTATTTAGGCATTACACTGAAAAATATAGTTAGAGTGAACCAAGGGAAAAGTTTTTATTTGAAAAAGTTTAATATTCAAGACCATCAATATGGCGCAGTTTGGTTGTCATAATTTATGTTGTGGAAAATCGGTATTGCCAAATGTTTTTCTTGTGGAGGAATAATAAAAATCAGAAAAAAAAGACAATTTTTCTCCCTGTTGTTTAAGAAATGCATATTAAAATATATCTTGCATTTAATGTATATTTCTAAAATGTACAATCCTATAAGTGTTCAATATGATTTAACTTTTTATCATGGCGTAAATAGAGCAGTTATGAGATTTTTTGTAAAGATTAGCGATATTAAAAACTTGATCATCAAGCCAGGTCATCATAGCTAAAACATTGGTTGTTTGCACAATATTAACTGGGATCTTTGCATGCCTTCTACTTAATAATTCAAGCGCAAGATGAAAATTGTGGATATTTTAGTACAAAGCTTATGAATAATAATTATGCAAACATAAAATTAAAATTGAGCGAACCTCGTAATTGTTATATCGTTAAAAAAAAATAATTTATTTTACTATTGTTTTATAAATATATAATAGTTTTTTGTTTTTTATCTGTTTTTTCTGTCTAATATATATGTTTTATTTTGCTAGTATATATATATATATATATATATATATATATATATATATATATATATATATATATATATATATATATATATGCCTTTGTATATAATCATTGCCCATGGTGACGTTATTTTTTGAAATACATAATAGCAATCAACAAGTTGAAAGAATAGTTATATATGATTACTACCTTTAACAGTAGTTATGATAAATGAATTTCATTGGTTTAGTTAATTTAAAGCATTTTTAGATATCATAATAACATTGATAAAGAAGCTGGCGAAGTTCTCTATCAAAGATTTGTTGATCACGTTAAAGTAAGAAATATGAATTTTATATTTAAATACATTTTTTAACGTAATTTTTATTTGTTTATCTTATTAATCTTAAATTTTGATATGTTATTACTTTTCCCCAAAAATATCTTATTACTATTCCCCAAAATTTTGGTGTTATCTTCTGGTTCCTCTAGTTTCTTGTTTTATGACTATCTTTTAATTATCATAGGAGGTTTTTGAAGAAAACAGAATACACCTACCAAATGAATGCTCCGTGAAAAATGGTGTGTTATCTAATTGTTGTTGTTATTATTAATGTTATTGATGTTATTTTTGTTGTTAACAATAAAACATATATATAATAAATTTTTTTATTTAATTACACTGTTTTATTCTTCATTGATTAAATTTCAGAAATTTCACATTTAGGAACTTATGGAAACCTACAAGTGTTAAGTATGGAAACGAATGGCCCTTACACTCACGTTATCGACATGTAGTTTTTTTGATAATATTGTGTAAATAGGAAATATTTATATAAAAGTCTTAGTTTAAAAAACACATGATCAAAATAAATAATCAAAAAGATACGAAGCGTTTACAAAACATGTTAAAAAAAATAGTACCGAAAAAGAGAAAAGTTAAAAGCTTTTAAGTGGGGCTTAGCAATCTAAAATCAATGTTGTTTCAGTAATAAACGTTTAAAAATACGATTTAGTATCGCTAGATTTTATAATATCATTGCAGTCGATTTTTGATAAGCCAGATTTAAAGCTTATTGATGTTTATCAAGTTCTTACTACATAAATTGTGTCTGTATGGTATAAATAATTGGGACAAATACAAAATTGATGTAAATGATCAGAAATTTAAGTTGTCAAGTTTCCAGAAATAATTTTATTAGTTATCAAATTAGAGAAAATTTTGTCAATAATCAGTAATTCTTGTCGGCAATGCGATAAAAGGCGAATAAAAAAAAAAAAAGTTTAAAAATCGGATGCCACAACGTTATTACGTTATTATTTGATTGTTTCTGGTCAATATTTAAATCATCATTAATAAAGACATTTATTTTTTTTGCAGATATTTTTAAAACAGGACGAATATTATATTAGTGAAAAAATTTATATCTATGCAAGGGTGTCTATAAATGCAATTGTTTTTCCTTTCATTGTTTTTTGTTTTATTATTTAGTCTTAGTCACGCTAATTTATATATATATATATATATATATATATATATATATATATATATATATATATATATATATATATATATATATATATATATATACATACATACATACATACATACATATATATATATATATACATATATATATATATATATATATATATATATATATATATATATATATATATATGTATATATATATATATATATATATATATATATATATATATACATATATATCTTATACTGCTGAGTTAGGTGAGCATGATGATGTCATACTCACCTAATGTCAAATAGCCTGCTGCCGGGGGCTTCAGTACATACATCGACTGACAAATAGCCTGACTCGCCGTGGAGTGCTGCTACATCGACTGAGGGTTTGGTATGGGTCAGCAACATTTTCATTCATTATTCTTCGTTTTCCCTCATCGTTTTCTAAAAATGCTCACTTAATTTAGGCTAGCAAAAAAAGTGAGCAATTGCGCATATAAATATGCTATAGTAGATATATATATATATATATATATATATATATATATATATATATATATATATATATATATATATATATATATATATATATATATATATATATATACATAATTAAGTACTTATTATTACTTATTATTATTGTTATTATTATTATTGTAAATATATATATATATATTTTATATACTTTTTTATTATCATTACTAATTTTAAATTTAATTTATTTTACTTTTACAATATTTAATCAACATACTTCTGGTAAATCTTTATATCAATTATATCAATATCATTTATAGCAATAACTTAATATTTGATGAAAATAAAATTAAATAATACACTTATTGAAGTTGCATTACAATAAGGAGTCTTCCTTAAAGTACCTACGCAGGTATAGGAAGAGTGGGATTACTCACAAACGTAAGAATGCGTACAAGGGAGAGGGTTGTTAAAGACTGAGTACCTACGCGCAAAGTATTATAATATAGCTGGAGTGAAATGTAAGTAAAAATACATCATTTTTCAAGGATCAGTCTATGTAGTAACATAGTTAGTCAATTAAATAACGCGTAATTATTATAATTTAAAGGTAGCTAATCACATTCCACTTTTTAAACATATTCTCTAATAACATTGTTTCAAGTTGTCATAACCAATCAAAGCATTGCATATAAAAGGTGCAAGTTAAGAAGAATGCGAAAAACAATATTTAGACTCTAAAATACTGACAAAAACGCTACCGAATCTTATCAAGATATTATAAATAACACAACATAAAAAAATAACAATAAGCTAACTCTAAATTAGAGTCAGTTTATCCTTATTTTTTTATGTTACGTTTTTTTAAACGAATAATAATAAATTTATAGATTAGAATTGAAATAATAAATATCTTGGTAAGAATTAGTAGTATTTTTGCCGGATTACCAAAAAAATAATTGATATCCCTATATTTAAAATATAGCATAATATATTTGTTTTTAAATCTAGCAAAAATACTACAACAAAAAATAAAATCAATGAGAGATAATAAGTTCCTTGCCGAAAAAAAAGCTTTTCGAGAACTAAAAAACCTATAGCTAAAAGGAAAGCAAAAAATAAGGTTCAATCAAGTAAGAGAGATTGTCTAAAACTTTGACCTTTACACCTACTATCGAGGTATTCAAAAACAATAGCTTTACGTAGATTGTGATACGTAGGTTGTCATTTCTGTTGCGATTACTTCTTAATAGTTCAAGCAATTGTTAAAAACATATCCAGTCAATTTCTAAGAGATTAACCCACTTTGACTTTCAAAGGTTACAAACCTCATTTTCAAAGGCGCCATTTTGACTTGCCGCAGGAATAATCATATTAGTAAGACTGTACCACATTTTTAAACAATTTTCGAATTGTTTATTTTTGGTATAACAGCTATTTGCTCTGGTATAACAGCTAGACTGTTACTAGACCTCCTTGGTACGCGGTTTCTCTAAAACATAGTTAAACTTTTCTACTAAATAATTCTTATTTTTTAAGAAAAGTATCGAGTTTCACGAGTTTTTAAAAAATCAATAATTTGTTAAGTAACGTGGATGTGTCAAATTAACTGAAAGTTTTTTGTTTTAAATGTTATAAAAATTTATGCGTTAGGAAAAGGGGGATTGATTTTGTAATGAGCGATGCGTACGTTCACAGTAGGAGGGGGGATGGGTTGATAAAAGCATAAAGGTGCGTAAAAGGGGGAGGGAAATCCTAAGTTAATGGTTCTGCCAACGTACTTTATGGATGTCTCTAACTTATACTTTGAACTCACTTTACTAAATATTTTATTCGTGAAAAATTTATTTAATAAATTTAATAAATTTAAAATACTTTATTTGTGAAAAATTAAACAAAAATATTATAGAATTATTAAATGGCAGACCATTAACAAACTCTATTATATTTTTGTTTAATTTTCAAAACCATATTGCCTGCATTTATGAAAAATAAATATAAGAAATATTTTTCTCCATATGTTTGCCTATATAACTGCAATATGATCTCAATGGTGTATACTTTTTGAATTCTGTAATCAAGTATCGCAGTACGATTTTTTTTTCTCGGGAATAGAGTCTAACAAAAATTTATTTTATACTAAAAACAACAAAAAAAATTTTTTCTCACAATAAGAACAGTTTCTAGCATGTTTCTTTGATGTCTGTGTAGTATTTAGAATTTCCAAGCAAGTTATCACAAAACAAAAGAATTTCTCATCGTCGATGGCCAAAAGTAAGTTTTGAGAAGAATAAAAATCAATAAGCGGATTAACATCTTTTCAGTTGTTTTTTTTTGCTTTTGCTTGTTGTTCAAAGGTGTATGTAACGAGCATATGTCGATTGATTCACATCAAATTTAAAATAAGCTTCCTCTTACCGACCTTTTTTCGATTGTTGACTTTGATTGTTTTCAAAAGTCTCTTTAGCTTGGCTTTTCTTTCCAGGATGTTGGGTGACCATAATATTTTGATGATAAAGTCCTTAAGAATATTTACTTTGGATTATTTTTATCCAATATTATTTACTATTAATTTCACCAAGTCGCTATAGTTTCAGCAACAATTCATTCGAATAATAAATTTAAAACCTTTCAAATCGTATACATCGGAGTCCTATAAAAAACCTTATATTTTAACCTTTACGGTTTAAGTAAAGTTTGATAATCTTTTTTTTTTTTTTTTTTGACTCTTTAAAGAAAAATTTACCCTTTTCCATAACAAACCTTTTAACAGAAAATAGACCGGTCTTGTATACGTTGTAAATGAGTTTTAAAAATTACAATTTTATAAGCTTTATCATCTTTATCTATTTCTTTATCTTAAACAAAACAAGTTTAAAAAATTATTGTATTGTACTACAATTATTATAGGCACTTTTTTTGTTTTGCTTATTGTTTTCCTTTATCTATTTATATTTCTCGCTAATTATGATTTCTACATTATTGTTTTAATAATAATAAAATATAAATATGTTTTATTTTGTGATTAGTCATACAGTCAACTCTCGATATCTCGAATACTTGACATCTCGAACTTTTGAGTAACTCGAACTTTTTTAGCGGTCCCATGGACAAACGTACTAGTTTAGGATAAAATTTTCTCGATATCTTAAACCAAAAGCAAAAAGAAGTCAACAAGTACCAATTGATGGTACCATACTGAAAGAAAAGGCACTAAAATTCGCAGAAGCATTAGGAGAGTTGGATTTTAAAGCATCTTATTGTTGATTTCATAATTAAAAAGAAAGGTCAGTTAAACTTTGTCAAATCTTGTTCAATTTAAATACAAACAGATATACATGTATTTTTTTATATTTAGTTTATTTAATTTTTCAAACGTTTTTAGGAACGGCTTCAGCTTTAAAATAATCTCAAGCGAAATTGCCGCTGGGACAAATAATATGACTGCTTCATGGAATGAAACTACACTTCCAACATTGCTTTCGAATTATAAACTTGAAGACATTATTAATGCCGATGAGTTTGGACTTTTTTACCAGCGTCTACCAAACAAAACATACCATTTATCACAAAAAAAATATTTCGAGGGAAAAAATAGTAGACTAACTGACTAACTGGCATGTCAACAGGAAGTGCAACGGGAGAAAAATTTCATACGTTTGTTATTGGAAAATCTAAAAACCCACGATGTTTTACGCACATTAAAAAACTTCCTTGCACGTATAAAAATCAGCTAAAAAGTGAGATGACCGGAGACTTTTTTACAGAATGGGTAAAGAAACTTGACTCATTTTTTTTGGTGGATAACTGTTCTTCCCACCCACACATTGAAGGGCTAAGCAACATTAACCTAATATTCTCCCCTCCCCCTAATACCACATCTGTCCTTCATTCCATTGATCAAGGCGTAATACGAAGTCTAAAAGCTCATAATTGTCACAAAATTGTGCGTTTGTGTATCAAGGCTGTCGATAATAACGCATTCCTGCCAAAAATTTCTATACTTCAAGCATAGAAAAATCTTGTTTCTTCCTAAAGCGCTGTATTGAGGGAGACTGTCATCAACTGCTTTAAAAAAGCTGGTATCAGCAAAACAAACAAGAGTATTGAAGAAGCTGATGATGATCATCCTTTTAAATTTTTGACAGAAGAACTTAAACGTTTGTGAGAGTTTGATCCTAGTGCCGTCCAAGAAATCTCTCAGCAGAATCTTACATTGGTTTAGGTTGCAATGCAGTAACCACCGGTCCACTTGCTACTGATGCTGAAATAATTGCTCAGATTTTAGACCCTAATTTTTAAAACAACGATAATGAAGTTGAAGATAGCGTTGACGAAGGTATTGACGTCGAAGCCGCCCATCTGATATTCAATTAGAAAATGCTTTTGAAACAATTTAAAATGCTGGGCTATACAGGTCAAAATTTGGAAATGAAATACAATCCCTAGCACTAAAACTTGAGAATTTAATGAAATTGGATAATTTGAAGCAATATCAGATAACAGATTTTTTCCAAAAGTTGAAGTTTTAATGATTTTTTTCAGAAAAAAAAAATTTCTTTAAATGAAAGTCGGGCGATTTTATTTATTTTCAATCATTTTCTTGATATCTTGAACTCCTTGGTGTTTAAGATATCGAGAGTCCCCTTTGTATTTAAGATATCGAGAGTTGACTGTATCACATTTAAAAATTGGTATTCTTTGATCTGACTTCTGTATGAGTGGCACCTTATAATTATTAACTTGTTATTATAAAAAAATATTATACTTATATCTGTTATTATATTATTTATTATTATTATTATTTTGTTTTTTTATTTATTATTTTTATTATAGTTATTATTATTGTAATTTTCATTACTACTAATTTTATTTCTACACTAAAAAAAGATTAAAAATGGAAAATAAATAGCTTATTATTGTATTTGTTGTTGTTATTTACAGGTGGAACAGCATTTATTTATTTTTTTAATTTTCTTTTTTTTTTCTTTTTCAGGATAAAGATTAATTAACGTGAAAAAAAAAAATTACATACAAAATTGTTACATATCAGATTGATAAAAATACATTAATAAAGTACTGATACCTTTAATTTAAATTTTGGTAAAATAACTGTTATGTACATTTATTTTTCCAAATAATAATACCTAAAAAAAGAAATCTAGCGTTTTTGGGTATAAAACTCCAAAAAAAAAATCTTTTCGCAGATTCCCTAAACAGGCCCTTTGGTATCTATCTATCTATCTATCTATCTATCTATCTATCTATCTATCTATCTATCTATCTATCTATCTATCTATCTATCTATATATATATATATATATATATATATATATATATATATATATATATATATATATATATATATATATATATATATATATATATATATATATATATATATATATATATATATATATATATATTATATATATATATATATATATATATATATATATGATTTCACCATCATAAATGTTCGTCTATTTGAATACCAAGAAACTTTGCATATTTTTCCCGTTTTATCATGTAAAACGTTTTATTATATAACAGATTCTATAATGTAATAAATGGTGGCGCCAAAGGGGCTAAACAAAGATTCAGTTCAGTTGTATCCATTCAGTTAAGTTGCATCCATTCAGTTAAGTTACATTCATTCAACAGAGTTACTTTTTCTCAATATTTTTTCCCGTTTTATTGTTATGTTATTAATGAGCTCTGGAATTTTTAACGGTAGAGACATAGACTAACCTTTTTTATGAAATAAAATGGAGTTAGTTTTTTCACTGTTTAAGGATTTAAAGTTAGTTTTTTCACTGTAAAGTTTTCTTGTTCAGTATTGATTGTTCCGAACATCAATTTTCAATTACTATGACTTTAAAACAAAGTTGTGTCAGTATACATTATTGATACTATAGGTGATGCATTTCATTAATGTAAATCAAAGATAATAACGGTCTTAAGATTGAGTTTTGAGGGACCCCCCGCACTCAGTATCAAGAACACTTGACTCCTTGATTATTACAAACTGCTTTCTGTTACTCACTTTTTATCCGTTTATACATTAGTCCTTTGATCTATAAACACTCCCAGTATCATTACATGCTGGAAGAATATTTTAAATAAAAATATTTGCTTTGCTTATAGCCTTATAAACGCAATACCTCATATACGTTTTCCAAAGAGTAACTCATCTCAATAAACTAGTGTCTATTTTTAATTTTTGAAAAGATAAATAGAAATAGGAATGACATTACTGCCAGCGTTTCATCGGTAATTCCATATTTTAAAACATTCGCTTCAAGAAAGTTACTGAAAAATTACTTGGAAATAGTCTCAGTGGGGGAAAAGTTACTAAATTTTTGTTTATTAAGTACAATTTTTTACTTTCAAAGTCTCTCAAATTGATTTAAATAAAAATGTCATTCACCAATCATTTACGTAGAAGAGCGCTTTAAAAATTTTTATTTTAATTAGCTTAGGGCCGCGCTCTGCGCTGGTAATAAATTAAAATAAGATAAATTGATAATTAATATTTTTATCTTAATAGTTAAAGATAAGATAAAACCACCACATGACATATTTTCTATATAAATAATATATTATATCCTTGTTATATATATAGCATATATGTAAATTTATAGGAGGGATGTATGTATTATTTACAAAATATTTGTTTCGCTTAAGTATTCGGACCTGGCCGGAGCCTTGCATTATGTTTATATTCCTGTATTTGTAGCACGTGAAATGGCTGCTGGATTTCATACATTAAAGGTATCTTTTGACGAAAGTTCAACAAATGGTCATACATTGTTTATAAAGCGTCAAAACGTTAAAAATGATCCTAAAAACGATTATACTTTATTCGTTGTAAATCTACCACCTTACTGCGGGAAAGTACGTTCTTAAACATTATGTAAAAGCAATTTATTATTAGAATTTTTAATTCTTATTTTAATATTTTTTAAAAGTAATATATATATATATATATATATATATATATATATATATATATATATATATATATATATATATATATATATATATATATATATATATATATATATATATATATATATAATATATATATATATATATATATATATATATATATATATATATATATATATATATATATATATATATATATATATATATATATATATATTACTTTTCAAAATAAAATAAATTTTTTAATTTTATTTAAAATCATTTTATTTATCAAGACATGTTTCGACTATATATAGTCATCATCAGTTAAATATATTTGTTAAAAACAGTATAAAATATAGTATATAATTGTAAAAATAAACATACTAAAAGCCATAAAATTGTAAACAAGTTTCCTACATATACAAAAAGAATTATTAAAAATTATTTAAAAAAATGTCATATAGCAAAAGTAGTATATCATATTAAATTTAACAATTTACTGCTTATATATATATATATATATATATATATATATATATATATATATATATATATATATATATATATATATATATATATATATATATATATATATATATATATATATATATATATATTACTTATGGATTTATTGCATATAATTACTATACATATTACTTATACATTTATTGGGTCTAAATTTAATTTTTTGTATCAACTAATCCTGCAGTTAAGTTGCTTAAATTAAATTTATTTTCTCATTTGTAAAAAACTTGAAAGCATTTTAAAGTATTTTTTACAAATATTATTATTACTGTAAATATTTTTTTTTATTAATAACATTAATTTTGATAATAATAAATGTATAAATTATCATTAACAGTAATTGATATTATTATTTATAATAATTTTTTTATTAAAATGCTTTTTTCACTTTCCACAATTTTATCAGAAAAAAATTTAATTTAGGCCGCTTTACTGCAGGATTACTCTTTTCCAATTCTTATCTAAATGCACATATAAAGATAAATGTAATAGTGGCCTACAACTATTGGCCTTTATATGCCACATGACACATTAAAAGCAAGAAGAACAGCAAATAACAATCTTTACCTATAAATGCATTTTTTTATAAAGCTGTTACTTTTATAAAAAAAAGTTGTTATAATTTTATTTTAGACTTCCAACTTTGTAATTTTCAAAATCATAAAATGTAGCAGCTGATCTATTCTAATTTTTAAAAACATCTATAGTTATATATTTTTGTTCAAAAAATGCAACAAAAGTATGTTTCTACATCAATACTGACATTTGTAAAGTTGGCACAGAATTTTGGTTAAAAAAAAAATGCTTTTGGAAAATTTGCTTCAGTTAAAGCAGGTTTTATAGATTAAATAGAAGGACAAATAAAGCTGTTACAAAGTAGAATCTGTTATTACTAGAGTTCTTTAAGGCAAAAAAATAATTTTTCTCTTTGCACTAAATAGAAAGAAAAAAACAAACATTTACATAAGTTTAATTTATTTCAGTTTAGTTTCTTTATTACTTTTGTAAGTGTGAAGTATTTCAAAGTTCTTTAAAAAAATGTTTGCAAGTGTTTGACAGATACCATCTGCCTTAGACCTCCTAGCCACAGAATTTTACTTTCATGGCTGGCTAAAAAAATTTCCTGATGGCATGAGCAGCTAGCCTACATTTTTGTGGCTGGCTTACCGACTTATTTCTTTGGCTGCTTAGCTGGTTTATATATATATATATATATATATATATATATATATATATATATATATATATATATATATATATATATATATATATATATATATATATATAGTATGATAATGACATTTATACAAGTATAATACTGAAACACTATTCAAACCAAACCATTGCATGTAAATATTCATATATGAAATACAAAGGTAATCAAAATGAAATAAAAACATAAATATTGTCCTTATCCAAAAAATGCAAGTCTTAGCTCATAGACCAGCATTTGGATAGTTATCATATATAAAACAAACCGCATTCATTCTATATGGTGCCAAGGAGTATCTCTTTCCATTCAAAATTAAACCAGTCGTGCTAAAAAGGCATTCAACAGGTTCCTTGCCAATGCTCGATGCAAGATAAACCTGCAACAATAGAAACTATGTAAAATAAGCAACATTAAACTACTCAGAAAAAAAAATTAATGTTTATAATGCTGAACAACTTTTTTTATTTATTAAAAAAAAATTAGATTTGACTATATTTTTATCTTAACCGTATATTTTAGTTGTTTTTTTGTCACTAGTGTTAGTTTAATGTCAAAAATAAAAATATTTTCTACCTTAGTTATGAATGCTAGAGTAGGGAATTTTTCTGAATTTTTTTTCCAAAACTGGTTGGTGATTGATTGTCACAAATGGTAAGATTAAGATTTATTTCAGCTTGCAACCAATTGCTATTTTCTAATTCGCTCCAGAATTTAGTGAAGATTCCTGTAATAAGTTTCCTTCTGCAGTTTCTTTCTGCAGTTTCCTGTTATAAAGTTTTTTAAAATCTTGAGCTGCTTTGAAGCTTTTACTATTTTGATTCTTCTCTATGTGTGATGCAGGGAAATCAATCTTTTTATCTATGGTTCCTGTTTGTGGTAAAATGTTTGAACCAAATAAAGAAGTTTTTATTTTTTCATAGCTGTTTTTTAACAAAATTTCACATTTTTCCTTTGTCAAAACAACGTCACGAATTGCTAGATCAAAACAAGACGCTAATTCTACTAAATTAGTAACAACTAACCGTTTCTCAATGCATTTTCCAACTAACTTTTTATATTGTTTTATAGCAGAAGAATCTGTGACTTGAACAATGCAACAATTTTTAATTTTGGTAACCATAAGTGGAAGGCAAGACAAATTTGGTGTTCCCTCGCTAACAAGTAGAGTCAGCTCTCCAAATGGAAATAAAAAATTGCGCAGTTTCTGCAGAAGTTTTAAATCTTCAGTAAGAAAACATAAATCATACTTCCCAATTTTTTTAATACTGTATCAACATGAGTGTTTAGATATAAGATAGATTCACTCATTTCAAGAGTACTATTCCATCTTGTTGGGACACTATTTTTAAAAGAACTGTGCTCATGATATTTACGTAACTTTGTTTTTGGATAAATTTTTTAGTTTGTATGTCAAAATCAAAAAATGAATACTCTTCATCAGCCTGACTAACAGGTTTAGTTAGCTGTGTTTGTGGAAGAATGCTTATATTTTCAGTTTCAATTTCAAAATACAGAATTGGATTCTTTTTATCAGCTATTAGCTGGTCAACATGAGTTGTAATTCTTTTGAACAACTCCTCATCTTTCACATTTTCAATTTCATTTGATAGCATATATCCCTTAAAATGTAAAGCTTTTATTAATTCTTTGCATTTGCTTACCAATAAAGTTAAATCTGGAACATTTTTTAAGCTATCTGAAGTTAAAAACAGATGAATTCCATGTGCGGTGCATGTTACTCGGTTATGGCCTAATAGCTTTGATAATTTTTTCATATTAGCTGCACCATCAGTTGTGTTAAATAATAAAAAAATGCTTAATTTTTTAGGTAAAAATTATTTTAATACAGTTTTAACAAATCAATAACATTGCTCAGAAGTGTGCAACTCCACTGGCTGAACAGCCAATGTAAAAATTTTAAATCTCCAATCATGCACAACACTTTAACCAATTCCAAAATAAGGTAAACGATTATGCTTGTCAGCCCAATCATCCATCATCAAAGTTCCACTTATACATGATTGTAGAACTTCTAAAACTTTTTGTTTAACAGAAGAATAAATATTTTGTAGGGCAGAGCCAGATATACAGTCAGATGATAGAGGCTGAAACGCTGTATTTTTCAAACAAAAGTTTTTAAACCCAGATCTTTTAAGGTAAATGGCTCATGATCTGAACATATTAACAGACAAAGATCTCTATTGAATTCAAATTGACTTTGCTGGTTTATTATGTTGTACAGTATGGATCCAATTAGTAGTTTTATAATTAACTGGTTGCTCAAAAGTTTTTCCATGTTTGAAAACAGCATGGTTTAGATGATTACCAGAGGATATCGTAGTTGAAGTAGCATAAACCTTTTATAAACGACCTTTATCGACATGTTATTTTTCTTCGAAACAGAATCTACAGTACAACTGATTACTTAATAAAAAATTTTGATTAATTTGGTTTTTTGAATCTTTCAACATAATTTGTCCCATGAAGTCCCACGCTTTGGATGTAGTAGCCCTAGATTTGTGGTTAGACACAGGAATCCTACTCAGATCCTTGAGCAAGCAAGTTGTACGAGTTTTTCTCTCAATGGAAACAAATTTCTTTACTCGTTCAAGACCTAGTATATAAATAGATAAATACTTTATTACAAAACAATGGGTAGACTAAATCAAATACTTTATTACGAAACAATTGGTAAGCGATATGATAAAATTATATGCCTAAAATTGGACATAAACTAGTTTAAAGATTAAAATTAATTAACTATGACTGTAACGGCTGGCTATGACTACTTAATTTCATGGCTGGTGAAGGCATTTTTCACAGCTGGCTAAAAATAAAGCAGTGCTTGGCGACGGCTAGTGGCTAACCGCGTCGGCTTGCGGGTCTAATCTGGCTCCTCTTCTCCCTCTCCTCAGGCTAATAATAAAATAGTGTCTCTATATTAAACTTTTTTTTTTAAGTTTCAACAGTTCCAATCTTTTAATGTAAATATGATTTAGTTATTTAGTGAATTAGAATTGTATATTTCTTTGAAATTTTTGCTTAATTGCTTTAAATAAATGCATCATTTTGATTGCAATTTTTTTGAAACTATAGATTGGTTTGGAAAATATATTTTCAGAGTGTGGCGAAATAAAATCAATTTTAATTAAAGATCAACCAGGACCAGATGAAGCTGAAAAGACAGATATTATAAAATGGCTCAACAAAGAGAAATATGTATGTGTTGATAATTATTTATGTTAAGTTTTATAATACTTATTATGATATTTTATTTACTTATGCTGTTATGTAAAGTATTAATGTTATTATTGTTGTTTTTATACTTATGTTGTTGTTTTTGGGGAGTTAAAATATCAAAAAAAGAACATTCTCATGAATTTGATTTTTTTTTAATATTCTAATACTTATTATTTACACACATTTTCAAACAACATACAACCTCATATAAACCTTTAAATAAATTTTGCATGTTGCACTGAATCAGGAAAGTTTGTAATTTTTCTTTAGTGATTCTCTGAAAAAAGTATAATACATGTTTTTTGTTTTTTTTTCATATATAAATAATTTATATATGAATTCTAATAACATAATTATATATATAAAATATGTTTATGAAAAAGTAATATATTATAATATTACTGATAGAATAATTATAACTAGGGAATATCATGTTAATCACTATTATTTGTTTAATGTGACCAGCACTGCATTTGTAACATGCAGTATGTACATTGTATTGTAACATGCAGTATGTATATTGACAAGCATTGTAACATGCAGTATGTACATTGACAAGCATTTGTAACATGCAGTATGTACATGTATTGTAACATGCAGTATGTACATTGTATTGTAACATGCAGTATGTACATTGACTGAAACTTTCAAATAAAATTAAATCATTTCAAAGAAATCAATAGTTACAGTTTTTTAAAATTCTTTTTTTTTTTATAAAAATCATAAAAAGCATACATTCTATAAAGTACTAGCTAATGTATTTTACTAACTAGGTCTCTACAAAAATAACAGAGTGTTGGTCAGATCAGGGAAATTGGGGAAAAGGTCAGGGGACTCTGATATCTGCAAAAAATCAGGGAACAATTGAATTTTGTAAAAATCCTGAAGTTATCAATGGCTCATCATCAAATTTATGTAACTTTTTTAAGTCGTATATTGTACAGGTAATATAAAATGTTCTTAGCCAGATAGTTTTATGAATTTCTCTTGATACTTTGTATGTCTATTGTATCATTGTGTATACAATTTTTCAATCAAAAATTCTAAAAAGATTTAATTTTTGTTTTCTAGTATTAAGTTTCAGTAACTTAAAATTAAATCAGGTTGTAGATAAGGGGAAAATCAAGGAATTTCATAATAAAATATTGGTAGAGAGTTTAAAGGAGTTTTAAGTAAGTGATTAATCCCTATTTAAGTTTTATCAAAGCTTTGGTTGTTAAATCGAAAGTGCATAGTACAAATGGTTCATAAATAACAAAGTTTTTTTTTTTGAATTATACTTTTTGTAGATTTTAAAGTTCAATAGTTATATAGCTGCTCTGAATTGTAAGCATACTACTGAGTTGAGACTGTTCAACAATTGCAACACATTGCAGGTATTATACTGCTCTTGATAAGATATTAAAAAAAAACTAAAACTTTTACCTGTATTATAACTTCCTGATTATTTATAAAGTTTCCTATATTTTTTCTAGTTCATTGTATTTTATATAATTCCTGATTTTATATAATGTAGTTTTAAATATTTTGTCTGGTTCTTAATATTTTATATAGTTATTTTGTACTGGTTTCTGGTATTATAAAGTTCCTGATATTTTAGATCAGGTCAGAATCAAGATCATGTAAATATTTTATGTTAATCTGAAAACATATTAAAATTTAACTGTGCACTTATAGAACAGAGTGTATTGCCCTAGCTAAAAGAAGTCAAAAAGTATGAACAAATGTGTTTGAAAAGAGTTATATTACCCATTTTGGCATAATTGCATAAATTTCATAGTTGCATTTTGGCATAATTGCATAAATTTCATAGTTGCATTTTGGTATAATTGCATAAATTTCATAGTTGCATTTTGCCATAATTGCATAAATGTCATAGTTGCATTTTGGCATAATTGCATAAATTTCATAGTTACATAGTCAGTTCAAAGTTTCATAATTTTAGTTATGGAAATGTTTTTCATGAGACAAACTTTTTCATTTTTGACTTCAAGAAACTAGAAAAGCTAGAAAAAAAGTTTTTATAATGCTGTTATGTGCATGTTGCTGATTGTATACATAGTTATCAAATTTGTTAACTGTTTAGTTTTATAGCTATAAATAAGTCCGTTTGTACAAAATCTTAAATTATTTGTTTCTCCAGAACATTTAAATACAAATAAAATGATTTTGATATTCTACATAGTATCATTTGATGTTGTAAATGTTTTTACTTCTTGTTTCACTAGTAGCTACTTTTATTTTGTTAGAACCCTTTCTCAACCTTTTAACTTTAAAACATATGCCTTGAAAAACAAAGCAACTGCAGGGAGAAACACTTCAGTGTAGAACTACCACATTCGAATTGATGGGATGTAGTGGGGATTGAACTTAAAACTTCTCACTTAAAAACTACACTGCTACTATGCATATATATATATATATATATATATATATATATATATATATATATATATATATATATATATATATATATATATATATATATATATATATATCAGTGGCGTATCCATGCCGATTTTGATACCGGTATGGCCCCCAAATTTCTGCCCAACTCAATTTGAAACAATTTAATATTAGCACCAAGTTTGTCATAAAAAAATTAAAATTAATTAATTTTTTATTACTTATTGTCTTTTTGCTGTTTTGTGATTAAATTTGTTATGAAAACTATGATGATAAAATTTTTTATTATAATTACAAAATTGTTATTGATGCTGTTTAGAAAATGCAAAATTTGAAAAATGATTTTTGAAACAGATTATAAATGTATTTAAAGTCAATCAGAATGCTTACTTCGAATTCACATGGATGGAATATGTTACAATTGAATTAAAATGTAAAATGCATGCTTTGATTGGATTAAAATATGAAACATTTAACATTTTATATTTTAAAATAAAAACATTAACTTTTTTTAAATCCTCTTAATATGAGTTTTTCCTCTGCCTACTTTTTTATATAATTAAACTATAATTTACAATGCAATTAAACTCTATAAGCTGTAAACTTTTTTATTTTCAAAATTGCATTAAAAATATTTAAATAATATATTAATAAAAGTTTTTTAAAACATAATAATTTTTTAATAATCATGCCAAAAAACTGGATTTGAAAAGTAAAAAAATAACAGCAACAAAAAACTATTAACTTATGAATTAATTAAAATTTTGAATGAATTGACCTTGTTACACAATAAACACACTATGTAATCAATCTTTTTAATCTATTTAAAAGAAACATGCAAATATTGTTTATTAAATGTTGTAGTTATTACTTGCTTATTAAATGTTATAGTTAAAGCTTCTCATGCGAATAAAGCATATAAATGAAAAGCTGACATGTTGTAATAAATGTTAAATTATTTTAATTAATTATTTTTATTTTTATTTGGAAAAATGTAAAATACGTAAATTTGTGTTCTAAAAAAAAAAAAAGAACCCTCTAAACATAGACAAGATTTCTAGACTGGTATGTCCAAAAAATTTCTGGATACGTCACTATATATATATATATATATATATATATATATATATATATATATATATATATATATATATATATATATATATATATATATATATATATATATATATATATATATATATATATATATATATATATATATATATATATATATATATATATATATATATATATATATATATATATATATATATATATATATATATATATATATATGTATATATATATATATATATATATATATATATTTATCAAATTTAATCAAAAAAGGATTTAGCTAACTTGAACTGCTACTGTCAGTTTCTCCTTCAATGGGATCATCAGGAGGCTTTCTGATGATCCTATAGAAGGTGAACATTAAAGCCATTATCAAATTAAATTATTCTTTAAAAAAAAACAGTCAAAACAACAAAATACAACTATTAAAAAAATTGTACTTGTATATAAAACCCTGAGAATTAAGAAAAATGAGGTTGGCAATAAATTGCTGCTCTCAAACTCTTAGAGGTCGGCAAAAAAATTTTGACACAAAAGGGTTACCATAAAGCATAGAATCGTGGATAGTAATTTTTTGCCAACCTCAAACATTTTTAGGTTGTCAGTCAGGTTGGCGTATATATATATATATATATATATATATATATATATATATATAATATATATATATATATATATATATATATATATATATATATATATATATATATATATATATATATATATATATGTATATATATACACTTACTAAAGCGTATTTTTATAATCATTTGCTCACTTTTTTTGCTTACCTTAACCCATATGGCTTTTTTAGAAAAAGAAGAAAAAAAACGAAGAATGGTGAATGAAATAATTGCTGCCCTATTCCAAACCCTCAGTCGATGTAGCAGAACTCCACTGCGAGTCAGGCTATTTGTCAGTTGATGTATGTACTGAAGCCCCCAGCAGCAGGCTATTTCAGTATGATGTCAGATTGCTTACCTTAGTACGCAATACTATTTGTATACATATATATATATATATATATATATATATATATATATATATATATATATATATATATATATATATATATATATATATATATATATATATATATATATATTCTGTATGCTCAAATCTGACTTGAACGTGGTTTTTAAAAAGCTGAAAATTTTTAAATTTTTTAGTTTTTTATATTTTTAGTTTTTGATAAGATATTTTTATGTGAATGACTTAATAATGAACAATGTTGAAAGTCAATTTTATAATTCATTATAGTTTTAAATGTTTGTTGTACATTTACAAGTTTACAATTTAACACTTAAAGTGTAACATTGCATTTTAAAATGAGGTTTATATTTTTAGGTCTTTAAAATGAAGCATATATTTTTATGTCTTTAAATTAATAATCTTCATATCTTTATAGCATGTACTTTTAGATCTTTAAAATAGTATGTATATTTAGATCTTCAAAGTTGCATATATTTTGTTTAAAGAAACTGAGTCTGTGGAAACTGCACTGGAAATGAGTAGTGCTGTTGTTAGATATATGTCTACTGAATCAAGACCTATTTTATCAGGAATTAAAAGTAAGTTTATCATAAAAAAATTTTTAAATTAGTTTTGTTATATAGTATAGCTATATTTTATATGAGTTGTTGTAACATCTTAAAAGTTGTTGTAATGTTTTATAAGTTGTTGTAACATGTTACAAGTTGTTGTAACATGTTGTAAGTTATTGTAACATGTTGTAAGTTGTTGTAATATGTTATAAGTTGTTGTAACATGTTGTAAGTTGTTGTTACATGTTATAGGTTGTTGTAACATGTTATAAGTTGTTGTAACCTGTTATAAGTTATTGTTATATGTTATAGGCAGGGGTGTGGATTTGTAAAAAAAAAGTATTGACTACGACTCCAGTTGTTGAAATTTTTTGAGCACAACTCGAATTCCAACTCCAACTCCAAAGCAAAATTTTTTTTAACATGTTATAAGTTGTTGTAACCTGTTAAAAGTTGTTGTAACATGTTATAGGTTGTTGTAACATGTAATAAGTTGTTGTAACATGTTAAAAAAATCTATAACGTGTATAACATGTTATAGATTTTGTAACATGTTATAAGTTGTTGTAACACTTGTTGTAACATAAGAGTTATTAACTAGGTGAATAAAAGCTTTAAAAGTATTAAAGGACAGATACAGTAAAAGGATGTGACTTTGCTGAATAAAAAGTCAAGCGAGAATGAGTTTTGGGTAATGGAACTAGTGATGATAGTTTGTTTGAGCAGTGACTATGGTAATATTTGTAGAAAAGAGAAAGAGATGCAACCTTACAGTGATGGCAGAGTGGCTCACAGATAAACTTGACAAATAAAGTTGATCCAACTACGTTTACAATGTGTTTTTGTACCTTATCTGATAGAAAAAGAAAGCATTATTAAAACAATTATCTTAAATATGAAAACAGTTTTACGTACAGGGACAAAATAAGAGGTTTGTAGAGTTAGAGAATGAAATCAGGAGTAAGAAAATGACAAGCACAATAAAGAGAAGCAACTTTAGCAGATGCTAACTTTATAATGGATTGTATATATAGTTTCCATCAGAAGTCAGTAGTGAATATTTCAAGACAACGTAAAGTAGAGGACTCAGTGAAACCATTCATCAATATGGTTAGATCAACAATATTGCAATAGTTGTTTGTAGTAAAAACCTGTATTGTTGTTTATTATAACTGTGTTTTGTTGTTTTTAACTATGTTTTGTTGTTAAAATTCACAAGCTAATGCAAGCCCTTAGCTGTTACTGAAAAAAAGATCAGATTGAAACCTGATTTAATGGCAAGTTGGTAAACTGATGCGCAAATGTAATAGTGGTGTATTGGTAGAATGCTTGCTTCATAAGCTCATGAAACATGGTTCTGAATTCAATCCTCACTACGTCCCTGGTAGTACCGCCCTTAACTTGTTTCTCCGTGCAGCGGCCTTGTTCCTCAAGGTTTCCTTTTTACTGCCCACTTAAAACAACTTGGCTATATATATATATATATATATATATATATATAAAAATATATATATATATATATATATATATATATATATATATATATATATATATATATATATATATATATATATATATATATATATATTTGTTTATCTTTAACAGTAGTAAACTGAATAAAAGAACAAAAAGGCTTTCGTGGAAATTTTCAAAGAATTTTCATTTTATTTACAAATATGAGAAAATTTAATTATGTTTTATATATTAATGATTGTCTGGATTAATGCAATCTGAAAACTTAAAAATCTCTTCATTTTAGAAATATTGAAATTTTTTAGAAACCTTGTAATGAAAAAAAAATTAGTTAATCTAGTAATTAAAAACTTAGTTACTACAATATTTTAAAATTATTTTAATACCTTTTTTCTTGATTTTCAAAAATCAAAATTTCAGTGATTTTTCAGTGACCTTTTTTGAGTTGAAAAATAATTGAAAGAAGTTTTTTTATTATTTTTTTCCTCTTCTGTAAAAATCATCTAAACAAAGCTTATTCTCCTTAACCTTAAAAATCATCTAAACAAAGTTTACTTTTCTTAACATTAAAACTTATTTAAACAAAGTTTACTCTTCTTAACTTTAAAAATCATCTAAACAAAGTTTACTCTTCTTAACCTTAAAAATTATTTAAACAAAGTTTACTCTTCTTAACCTTAAAAATCATCAAAACAAAGTTTACTCTTCTTAACCTTAAAAATTATTTAAACAAAGTTTACTCTTCTTAACCTTAAAAAATATTTAAACAAAGTTTACTCTTCTTAACCTTAAAAATCATCAAAACAAAGTTTACTCTTCTTAACCTTAAAAATTATTTAAACAAAGTTTACTCTTCTTAACCTTAAAAATTATCAAAACAAAGTTTACTTTTCTTAACCTTAAAAATCATCAAAACAAAGTTTACTCTTCTTAACCTTAAAAATTATTTAAACAAAGTTTACTCTTCTTAACCTTAAAAATCATCAAAACAAAGTTTACTTTTCTTAACCTTAAAAATCATCAAAACAAAGTTTACTCTTCTTAACCTTAAAAATCATCAAAACAAAGTTTACTCTTCTTAACCTTAAAAATCATCAAAACAAAGTTTACTCTTCTTAACCTTAAAAATCATCAAAACAAAGTTTACTCTTCTTAACCTTAAAAATCATCAAAACAAAGTTTACTCTTCTTAACCTTAAAAATCATCAAAACAAAGTTTACTCTTCTTAACCTTAAAAATCATCAAAACAAAGTTTACTCTTCTTAACCTTAAAAATCATCAAAACAAAGTTTACTCTTCTTAACCTTAAAAATCATCAAAACAAAGTTTACTCTTCTTAACCTTAAAAATCATCAAAACAAAGTTTACTCTTCTTAACCTTAAAAATCATCAAAACAAAGTTTACTTTTCTTAACCTTAAAAATCATCAAAACAAAGTTTACTCTTCTTAACCTTAAAAATCATCAAAACAAAGTTTACTCTTCTTAACCTTAAAAATTATTTAAACAAAGTTTACTCTTCTTAACCTTAAAAATCATCAAAACAAAGTTTACTCTTCTTAACCTTAAAAATCATCAAAACAAAGTTTACTCTTCTTAACCTTAAAAATCATCAAAACAAAGTTTACTCTTCTTAACCTTAAAAATCATCAAAACAAAGTTTACTCTTCTTAACCTTAAAAATTATTTAAACAAAGTTTACTCTTCTTAACCTTAAAAATCATCAAAACAAAGTTTACTCTTCTTAACCTTAAAAATCATCAAAACAAAGTTTACTCTTCTTAACCTTAAAAATCATCAAAACAAAGTTTACTCTTCTTAACCTTAAAAATCATCAAAACAAAGTTTACTCTTCTTAACCTTAAAAATTATTTAAACAAAGTTTACTCTTCTTAACCTTAAAAATTATTTAAACAAAGTTTACTCTTCTTAACCTTAAAAATCATCAAAACAAAGTTTACTCTTCTTAACCTTAAAAATCATCAAAACAAAGTTTACTCTTCTTAACCTTAAAAATTATTTAAACAAAGTTTACTCTTCTTAACCTTAAAAATCATCAAAACAAAGTTTACTCTTCTTAACCTTAAAAATTATTTAAACAAAGTTTACTCTTCTTAACCTTAAAAATCATCAAAACAAAGTTTACTCTTCTTAACCTTAAAAATCATCAAAACAAAGTTTACTCTTCTTAACCTTAAAAATTATTTAAACAAAGTTTACTCTTCTTAACCTTAAAAATCATCAAAACAAAGTTTACTCTTCTTAACCTTAAAAATTATTTAAACAAAGTTTACTCTTCTTAACCTTAAAAATCATCAAAACAAAGTTTACTCTTCTTACCCTTAAAAATCATCAAAACAAAGTTTACTCTTCTTAACCTTAAAAATCGTCAAAACAAAGTTTACTCTTCTTAACCTTAAAAATTATTTAAACAAAGTTTACTCTTCTTAACCTTAAAAATCATCAAAACAAAGTTTACTCTTCTTAACCTTAAAAATCATCAAAACAAAGTTTACTCTTCTTAACCTTAAAAATCATCAAAACAAAGTTTACTCTTTTTAACCTTAAAAATCATCAAAACAAAGTTTACTCTTCTTAACCTTAAAAATTATTTAAACAAAGTTTACTCTTCTTAACCTTAAAAATCATCAAAACAAAGTTTACTCTTCTTAACCTTAAAAATCATCAAAACAAAGTTTACTCTTCTTAACCTTAAAAATCATCAAAACAAAGTTTACTCTTCTTAACCTTAAAAATCATCAAAACAAAGTTTACTCTTCTTAACCTTAAAAATTATTTAAACAAAGTTTACTCTTCTTAACCTTAAAAATCATCAAAACAAAGTTTACTCTTCTTAACCTTAAAAATCATCAAAACAAAGTTTACTCTTCTTAACCTTAAAAATCATCAAAACAAAGTTTACTCTTCTTAACCTTAAAAATCATCAAAACAAAGTTTACTTTTCTTAACCTTAAAAATTATTTAAACAAAGTTTACTCTTCTTAACCTTAAAAATCATCAAAACAAAGTTTACTCTTCTTAACCTTAAAAATCATCAAAACAAAGTTTACTCTTCTTAACCTTAAAAATCATCAAAACAAAGTTTACTCTTCTTAACCTTAAAAATCATCAAAACAAAGTTTACTCTTCTTAACCTTAAAAATTATTTAAACAAAGTTTACTCTTCTTAACCTTAAAAATCATCAAAACAAAGTTTACTCTTCTTAACCTTAAAAATCATCAAAACAAAGTTTACTCTTCTTAACCTTAAAAATCATCAAAACAAAGTTTACTCTTCTTAACCTTAAAAATCATCAAAACAAAGTTTACTTTTCTTAACCTTAATAATCATCAAAACAAAGTTTACTCTTCTTAACCTTAAAAATCATCAAAACAAAGTTTACTTTTCTTAACCTTAAAAATCATCAAAACAAAGTTTACTCTTCTTAACCTTAAAAATCATCAAAACAAAGTTTACTCTTCTTAACCTTAAAAATTATCAAAACAAAGTTTACTCTTCTTAACCTTAAAAATCATCAAAACAAAGTTTACTC